TCAAGATCTTGTTTTCTAGACAATAACATATGCTTTTCTGCTATCTACAGTAAAACAAGTACTTTGTCTACAATTAGATCATGTAATTGATGATTTTTTTAAAGAAAAATGAGATAATAGCATGTCTTTTTTTATTCGTTTCTACAGTTATTAAATACTGCGATAGTTCTCTTTTTTCCTTTTAATTCTCTTATTGATCTAGAGTATCGCTGACAATAAAGTAGGGGAAAATCTAAAAATCAGGAGAAAATGTTGAAAATCAGCTCCTGAAACCAGGAGATTTTCTATCAGGATAGCTGCCCAAAAATCAGGAGTCTCCTGGTCAAATCAGGAGGTTTGGCAAGCCTGTTCTAGAATATGGCGAAATCTGAATGATACGATGTGTATGAAATATCTTTACAAAACAGAGATTATAATTTTTTTATAAGTCATTCATGATAATTTTTTTTTGAGTACTTTTCTGCTTACTTGATACAGCTGAAGTTGAGAAAATACCAAAAATCTCCAAAAACGTCTAGCAGCTCAGAAAGAGATATGGCTCATTGTTCTCTTTTAATATTACTGAATAGAGTCAGACGAGATTATTGGATTTAACCAGATTGTACAGCAAGCCATACACATCATCGAGAAGGTTGAGCTCATCGATACATACTGCAGAGAAATAAAAAACATAAAAATGTGCCTCAAACTGTTAGCGTTAGCAGTTAACAGTGCAGTCTTTGGCGGATATATCTTTGTTTAGCTACTACAAGTACAACGGTCACCACATCGACATCAACAACAACAGTGACGACGACCACTACGTCGACATCAACAACAACAGTGGCGACGACCACTACGTCGACATCAACATCAACATCAACATCAACATCAACATCAACAACAACAGTGACGACAACGATCAGTAAGAAAAAGTTTTGCCTATTAGTGGCTCGAATAAGTGTTTACAAGAAATGGGCTATAAAAAAGTTTGAAAAATTTGACTTCAATAACTGCTGATTAGTATATATTGAAAGAATGCCCAGGTCGATGATTCTGCCGCCAAAATACGTGAATTTCTGATGAGAGCCTACATGAAAGATCCTGTTTTCAGTCAGTGAACACCCGAAAATGATAAAATCCTAGAATCTTAATGAAAGCAAGATTGTGATTTGTTAAACTTTTGTCAAAATTATCTATTTTAGCAAGGTACTTTCATGTTGTTGAGAAAATGAACGATGATACTGCTAAATCACGTTTAAAACAATAAATAAGAGAATCTCATTTCAGTGATATTGATATTTATTTTGTGCACCACACTTGTTTTTTCTTTCAGTACCGCTACGTGCACCTGCCATTGAGATTCCTCCGAATGCAAAATGGCAACAGAATGGTGTGACTGTTGCTGGAGGAAATGGATCAGGCAGTGGATTCAATCAACTCATTCAACCATTGGGTTTGTATGTTGACGATGCTCAAACTGTCTATGTTGCTGATCGTAACAATCACCGTATTGTGGGATGGAAATGGAATGCAACGAGTGGTGAAGTAGTTGCCGGTGGAAATGGAGAAGGAAATGGGACTCATCAGTTGTTTAATCCATTTGATGTGATTGTCGACAAAGAGAGAGATAGTTTTATAATCTGTGATTGGAGAAATAGGAGAGTAGTACGGTGGCTTCGTCGCAATGGAATACATGGGGAAACGACCATCTCGAACATCGACTGTTTCGGTTTGACAATGGACGATATTGGATCTGTTTATGTCGCTGACATGAAAAAATATGAAGTAAGACGATTCCAAAGAGGAGACTCTCAAGGAACAGTGGTTGCAGGTGGCAATGGAGATGGAAATCATGACGATCAACTTTCTTCCCCACAATATGTGTTTGTTGATCGAGATTATTCAGTGTATGTGTCTGATTTTGGAAATCATCGTGTGATGAAATGGGTAGAAGATGCAAAAGAAGGCGTTGTTGTGGCTGGTGGTCAAGGACAAGGAAATAATTTTACACAATTGTCGAATCCTCAAGGAGTCGTTGTCGATAAAATGGGTACTGTCTATGTGGCTGATGCAGAAAATTATCGAATCATGCGTTGGGTCAAAGAAGCCACAGAAGGAAATGTTATTGTTGGTGGAAACGGCCGAGCAGAACTATTGAATGAATTAAATTATCCCTTTGGTTTATCGTTCGATTTGTACGGTAATCTTTATGTCGTCGAGTGGGGAAATAATCGTGTGCAAAAATTTAATATTGAACAGACAATAAAATAGTGCTATTTCGTTGTGTGATGGAAAAAATGATTTTTATAGAATAAAAAGATATTATCTATTTCAGATCAATCAATAAATATATTTGAAATTCGTGTGCGCTCGACCAGGGCAAGCCCTCATGCATATGTGAAAATGAATGAATGTCGTGTTTACTCGAACGGCATGTCGTGTTGCCACTGCCATTAGTTAGGTTTTCTGGTTGAAAATAGAATATGATTGAATGGCTGCTCTCATCTCTATCTACTCCTATTTATACTAGTGTACAATGACATGACATAAACTTTCTTCTTCTCTTTGATCTTAATATCTCACTCCACCTCTTTTTTTAGGAGCCAAGATTGTATTTTATGAAAAATAGTCGACAACTTTGTTTAGACATTTATCAAAATCAAAAGCTAGTTTTAAGATTTTAGGTTTAGTAAGTTTTGATATTAAAGTATTTATTTTTATAAGATATTAATAAAAGTAATTAATCTTGACAGGATAAATCCACAATACTTTCCTACCAACACAATTAAAATGGACGGTATAAAAACTTTTGAGAAAAGAAAAAAGGTCAAACTTCATTAGATCCTATTGCCGGTCTGTTACTAATTATAAGCACATATTGTCTTAGAAACCATACAAAAAAGAATTAACTATATAAATAATTTGATTAAAATATATAATTGTAATTTAATCGTTTTTTTAATCGATTTTAATCTAATTACTCATTTAATTTGTTTTCTTTACACAGAAAAGGAGTGATGTCACAATTCCATTAAACTTGGTATCCACATCATATAAAGTACGGCGCACCAAAGTATTCAAGTGATGTGCATTCACTTTCTGATGTAACTATTACTTCCACGAGTAACCACCGGTTTAACGCTCAGTATCAGCATATGTTTTGAACCCTGAGGAACTTGACTAGTTTTGGTGTATTACCTTAAAGGTAATGAGTTGATCAATTTAATCGATAGCTATGAATTTTAAGAGGTGACCCTATGGAAAATCGTTGATGTTTCAGTGTCTGATCCTTGACACTGTTAAAAAATCCTTTTTTTGGGTCTGTTCAGGATCTTATCTAATATCACCAGGCTTATGTATAACTGTTGCTATGGAACCTGTCCGAAATGTGCTACAATTCAATGAATATAAAACTTCATTCGTATATATTCACAAATATAGTACTGACAAGTGTTGTGACAACATTGTGTCTGGGTCTTAGCAGAATTTTCTAAATAGAACAGAAGATCTATCAATACATAAAATATTGATCTCTAGACTTTTCGTTCATGAATTTAACAGTTAACCCGGTTATACTGTGTTGCTGTGTAGAAGTGATGCAGCGAATCATTTTTATTTTTTCACTATTCGCTAAATTCAAAATATAATAATCTAACTTCTATTTTCTGTTTATCATTCAATTATTTCAACATGTAGTAAAACTATTTTAGATTTAAAATTATTGCAATTTAATTGTGTTTATACACACATGAATAGCTTATGATAATCATTGATTCATCACAAAAAGGAACAGAAAAACAACGAGAATGAAGATAGACTACAGAATAAATAGTGAGATGATCAGATTTTAAAAAAGAGAAGGTTTCACACGTTAAGCAACCATATTCATGTAATCTACAAAATATTTTATAGTAGATATATATCTGTACGATGAAAAAAAAGAAGTTAATGAACAGGGTAACACACGTTAACTTATTGAACTAGTGCTGAACAATCTCCTTTAGTTCAAAAAAAGCGTAGAATATACTTATATTCAAAGTATAACATTTTTCTCGTAAAAAAACCAAAAAACTACATGTTGAAACTTTTCGAGAATAAACAAAAGAATGATAAGTAATATTAAAATAATGCAGACGAGAAGAAAGATTTCCGTACAAGAAATTATTTATTGATTCATCAATTTCCATTTTTAAAATATTATTACCAAAAGATTCTTTATTCATAGAGAAACGACTATCATAATGATGATTTACATTTTCTGGTGTTTTTGGAAGCAAAAATTTGAAATAAATGCAAAAATGATTTGATATCCTGATCCAGAAGAACATTTTATAAATACTTTCAAAAAGCCGAAAAAACTTCCACCAACAAAATGAGTCAACCAATTTAAACGACCAAATTTTTTACATTGAAGTGGAAGATAAACATAAATATGAGTTGAAACTGTTCATACTTTTGGTGGGTATAAATTATTCAGAAACGAAAAAATTCAATAGCAAAATTTTTTATCATTTTCCTAATGGTCATGTAAAAAAAAAGAATAGTATTATAAAGTGCTAATCTCCACTCATGGTTAGGAATAAGAGTTTTCTGTTTTGCCATTCAAACTCACACCCCATATCTACACCCTATAGTGAGTTTTATATCATTTTTATAATGCTGTTGTATGTCATGGAGAATTTAGAGGTGAAACATGTTGGTAAACTAGTATTGAATGTACTCCAACAATAAAAGATCATGATTTTTTCATTTTCATTTTCAAATCACAATAAAAAGAATGATTAAGTATCGTTTTTCCATAGCTATGGATAGATCACGTCTAGTGTTATTTGAGCTAAAAGTTGTGCAACCTCGTACTGGCATGTTTCGTCATGATTAACAAACTTTTATTCAGCACATTTTCCCAGAAAATAATCTTCACTATCTCATTTCGCTCGATGTTACATTATTTATTTTGATTTTTGATATTTATTCTCTAGTCTATAAGGATATCAGTCTATTGTCAGTTGAATTCATCTTTGACGAAATGTCTGCGAGATAAAGAGCTTAACAGCGTGTCTGACTCTCCGTGAATACTCTGCTCTTTGGTACAATAAAAAGATTGTATCTTAGAAAAATGCCATGCTTGTTAGAGCCTTCTTGTACCCTTTTGAGAGAAAAAATAAAAGTGAATACGGAAACAGTGTGAATATTACATGTAATAGAGCGTTACAAGCTGTTTAAAAATCAAAGATTTCCCCAACCATGAGCCTTTTCGTCTAAGAAAGAGAAATGAACTTTCTATATATTGCCGAGTGTAGAGATGGGGGTCTAATTGTAACCGTTCGATAGAGAAAATTGTTTTGTTTAAGCCAGGAGCTATGCTTATTTCCACAAGAGCACATAAATCGCTCAGCTGATCTCCGATGACTCCTAGGAGCTGCATTGTAGCAAATTCTGAGAGTACAAAAACTATGTGTTCAATGGTTACAGATCGCTTTAAAAGCAAAAGCAAAATTCGAGTTTTCTTTTAAATCGGCTTACGTAACTTAAGTTCAACCAGTTGAGACATAAACCGGTATAAATGTGTGTTCATATTGTGTTTTGCAAGATTTGATTGATACAATATAACAAAAACCGTCACTCATGTATATGGTCAGAAAGAGAAAGGTCTCAACTGTAAAATAGCTCTAGAAAATCATTTGCTTTAACATGGAACGCAAAATGGGATGTTTATTTTTAATTTTTTTTACTTGAAAATCTTACAGCGACCATATTCTTAATATTTGATATTATTATGGTAAGTAGAATAACAAGTGTTTGTTTTCTAGAGTTATATAAATCCATTGAATAGACGCTGATATATGAGTGTTGTATGGTTCGCAAAACGAGACTACAATTCGAGCGCAATTCACCCATATATAGTGTCTAACACTGAAAGTAGAGAATAAAATAGTTTTCTTGAAGATTGAACAGAAAGCGTTTGAGAGTTTAGTCCAAAATAATCTTTTGGGTGCATTTCCGAAGAACATGTTTTTTTTAGAGAGATCTGAAACTAGCTTGTAAATGACTATATGTAACACATTTTTGTTTACATGACGAATATACAAAATGTCATGGGACATTATGTGAAGTTTGTACTTTTCAGATTTTACATACTCTCATCGGAATCATCGAAAACGTCTCTCTTTCACCAGAGATGTTGGAAAAAATGAGTGTCATTTGCAAAATATAAAAATCTTGTAAAAAAGAATGCATGAAAACTGGTACATTTTATTAGCATACAGCATAGTCAATATTAAACAACAAAAACTCACTGCGACTGTGTCAAAGATGCAGTTTATCCATGTCTTGGGATTATGGTTGATTAATCTGGAACTTACTGGTACAATATTAGGTGATTAGTTATTTTCTTATAAATTTAGATCTTATTATGTGAATTCCTCCTAGATTTTCTATAATATTTCATTCCCATTTTTTGTCTTGTACTACTTGAATATTTTCTATGTGGCAATCTAAAATTCTAAGCCTGTGATGACCAATATGCATCATAGTTTGCTGAATACTTTCAACTCATATATCGATCAACTTGATCAAGAATGAAGTAACATAAAATTATATTTGAAGGAATTTCACTCATAGATAATAGTACAATGAAAGGTTTTATGTTCTCAAAATTGATATTTTCAAATGCAAATTACTCTGAGATACCTTCGTTTATACGTAATATCTCTAAATATTTTGTCTAATAGAAGTATCATTCCATCAACCCAAATTCAGTTCATGTGCATCGTGGAACTCGACTGGTATTTCCTTTGTAAACAACAACAACACAATCGGTGCACACTATCTTGATATATTCATCGACATTAACAATAATATCTATGTGGCTGATAGTATCAACTATCGTATTCAAATCTGGCACAATGGAAGTCACAATTCATCGAGAGAGTTATCGGGTAATTTAAACTTACCAAACAGTCTCTTTGTCACAATCGATGATTATATTTATATTGACAATGGTAACGACGGCCGAGTTGACAAATGGCCACTGAATTTAGTGCAAAACATATCTGTAATGTATGTCAATCGAGGGTGTATCGATCTGTTTATCGACATTAACAATACTCTCTATTGTGCCATTGATAATGGTAGTCTAATAGTTAAAATGTCGCTACAAGATAATACCAATACGATGATAACCGCCGCGGGTACAGGCTGCGCTGGATCTCTCCCAAATATGCTTGATCGACCTTGTGGAATTTTCGTTGACAGTAACTTTAATTTGTATGTGGCCGACACCGGAAATAACAGAATCCAGCAATTTTCTCGTGGAGGACTAAACGGGATAACAGTGTGTGGAAATGGTGCTCCAGATACGATAGAACTCAAAACTCCAACAAGTATTGTACTTGACGCTGATGGCTATCTATTCATTGTGGACAGCGATAACAATCGGATCATAGGATCGGGACCAACGGGTTTTCGATGTTTGTTCGGATGTTCGGGTTCACCTGGCATAGCGTCCGATCAATTGAGTCGCCCACGGTCTCTTGCTTTTGACAGTTACGGCAACATGTTTGTTACTGATATAAATAATGATCGAATTCAAATGTTTCTTTTGGCAACCAACTCTTGTGGTGAGTGACTCGTAAACAGTAAATTACTGAATATGCTTTGCGACTCTTTGAGTCGATACATTTTTATAATAGAAATCGAATAGAAAAGCTTGACAGAATATTTACTCACTAGAAAATTGAAAACACTAATGTTCGAATATTTTCTACCTAATAGCACTAGATTATGGAAGTCACGAATGAGTTTAAAATATATTTATGAGCGAGAACATGTTTAATATCATAAAACGATCCTAAATCTGTTCTAGATGAAACGACCATTCCACCAAGACAAACATCGACCACTAATAACGAACTAGTTACTAGTACTTTCCATTGTAAGTATTGCCCATCGATCTTATAAATAGTCAGAATCTTTTCATTTAGTGCAAAGCACAGCAAATATCACCAAGACAACTGCTGGTGAAAGCACAACACAACTCCCACGAGGTTTGTTGTTGATCAATTTCATTTGATAGTTTTTGAAACATTGGAAACATTTTTAGATCAGCCGACTTCAGCACAACATTTCAATACTAATCCAAGTACTTTTTTTCTAGGATGAAAAATACATTCGAATTATATACTGATGTGTTTCATATTAGGTTGTTTCTCACCTATTATCACCCTTTTCCCGAGCATATCATCGTCGACAGCACCTATACAGTTTCGACGCAGTGAAGACTTGCACATCAGTTCATATATTGAAGTGAACTGTATTGCTTCACTTGCAGTCATCACACAATGGGCAGTCTTCAACTGTAGATCAACATGTTCTCTTCGAACAAAACTTGACCAATCGGTGATTACTACACTCAGTGAGTTGTTTATTCGAGCGCGAACTTTAGCATATGGTCTCTACGAGCTGAAATTGACTGTGACAATGGTAGCCTCAACGGATTTGATCTCATCGGCTTCTGTTTATGTAAGAATTAATCCACCGAATATAATACCAAATCTTGTGGAATTTGGCACGTCAATGATCAGCAGCGGTCAAGAGCAAGATCTTACATTCAACCCAGGTTCTTTTTCTGTTAACCCTGACGAGAGTACGTTTAATTTAAGCGTAAGTTATATTTTTTTAAATATCTGTACGACTATTAGGAATCTTTCTGTCTTTCATTTTCAGGATTGGACCTATGAATACTACTGTCGAACTTACGATTCAAATAAAATTGAAGTCTTGCAAACCTTTAATCAGACGAATCATTCATGTTTCTCAAATAGATCGAGTATGAACTGCTTTGATCAATCACTGAAATCTTTAGTATTTGTGTACAGGCAATACGGTAGCATGGCAGTATGGATCAATAGTTCCATCTACATCGTCAGTAACGATTTTTGCTGGATCATTGGCATCCAATCAAACATATCAGTTTGTTGTTCATATGGTCAATTGTCGAGATTTGACATTTCAAGTCAAAGGTTTTCTAATGGTGAAAGTGGCCGACACTAATTCTCCAAAGGTTGCTATAGCGTAAGTTGCCATTTATTTCGATGGATGATGAATTTCGATTTCAACGTATTAGTTGCGTGATCTCCACTATGTGTTCATTCAACGGTGAATATCAAAAAATCAATCCAAATACACAAGTAGCTCTCTTTTCTGTTTGTCTCGACAACTGCACATCGATAAAAAACATCAAGTGGAATATCTATAAGGGTTCAATGAATTTATCGACCGATATTGTCAAATGGACTCAAATGAACAACTCTCAAGATAGCTTCTTTTTTGGTAAATACGTCTGATTGGGAAAAAAAGAAATTCTCGCAATTCAATATCATTTCAGGAATGAACACAAGTAATTTCACTGCCATCAACAAATTGTTTCTTGACAATAGTTAAGTTTATTATTGGCGATTCGAAGTTGTCTATACATTTGTTACAAAGGAGATCAGCTTGAGTGCACTCAACTTTATAATCAATCAACCTCCTGAAAATGGTACTTGTTCGATCAGTCCTCTCAATGGTACTACAAGTAGTTTGTTTACTATCAACTGCTTAGGCTGGATTGACGACGATGATATTAAAGATTATTCATTCTACGGTAGAATTATTTTAAACTACTCTTCAGATATATCAGTACTGTCCAAGACTTATTAGCAGTCTATACAATGCATAAAGATTGGAGAAGTGTATTCAACAGAAATAAGTTGTTATAAATAAAAACAATGGCGGAGTTTTTGCGAGTATAAAAAGAATGAGCGTAATATTTCTTTGGTTTTGATTTGCCACACATTTTCCTTTCTACTGTAAAATTGACAATTGATCTTAATTTGATAGGGTGGACCACTGATCGAACTGAACGAATAATGCTTGCTTTTACAACTCTGCCAACTTTAAAAATTCGATTACCTGCTGGCAATGGCAACACATCGTTACTCGTGATGATGGTTCATATCCGAGATATGCTAGACTGTATGACAGAATTTTATATGGAAGCTCCTGTTGTTATTCTGGATTTGACAGAAATCAATACATTGATCAATGTGTTACAAGAGCCAACCAAGGGTGCAACCATCAATCCATTTGTTCAACTTCTTGGCAGTGGATATCAAAATACCGTAGGACAAATCATTATCTTAATCGCACAAGAACTGAATAAGATGAATAAACAAAATATTGAAACTGCCGTTGAAAGTAAGTATTTCAATAACTATTCCTTGTAACAGATAATTTAAATATTACTGTCTAGACGGTATTTCGGCTGCAAGTATTTCAGTATCATCGTTGGGTAGCGCCAGATTGCATGCAGTAAGTTTTTCTTCTGTCTTCTGATTTGTATTATCAATGTCGCAATAGTCTTCTATACCATTGAATATGTCGGTCATGAACAAGTACAATGAAAAGTTAAACATTCTTACCAATGTACGCAACTATCTTATGATGTTCATAACCAATATGACGATTACTACTGTGAACAGTATCAAACTACAAGCATCTATACTTGCTCTACTCACTGAAGCCACAAATCAGTTGACGCGAACAGCTTCGGTAAATGCGATTGTCTTCCATTCCATCAACATAGTTTTTAATGAATAGGAACTTGCCTCGGCCAAATGCCACCAGCTTTCGTTTGCTTTGTCAGAGATTGCCAAAAAGATTTCCTACGAGGATGCACAATTTGCAGCCACTCTTATTGCTCAATGTATCGGTAACGCTCTCACTGTAAGAATTTCTCAAATGTATTCAATATGATCACTCTTAAATGAAATATTCTTAGGCCATCAACAGACAGTTGCAAGAACGAGGAAATGATCTTGATCTTGATTCTATCTGCGGAAATATTTTACCCAATGACTACGACAATGACTTCGAGTTTGTTAGGTCAAATCTGAGTAAGCCTGTTTTCGTATGATTGTATATGATTTACATATACTTGACTAAAATAAAAATATTTTGATGGAAACTACGTCAAATGTTTTCAGGCGCCTTCACAAAATAATTTTGTTTTTCTTCTCCTGCTCTCTTGCCTATTAAAACTTTATAGATTAGCAACTGGGATACTTTTTACTTTTGATACAGCTCTTATTCTCACCCTGATCCCTCACATAAACCCCATTCTAGCTTTACTCTACCACACTATCAAAATATTTTACTATGAATCTCGGTCGACACTTTCCATTGACACTTGTTTTTGACCAAATCCACACATAAATAGTATATCACTGAGCTTTGATTTTATCAATAGAATTATTTATTGACGGAGATGATTTTTCATGGGAAGCAATTCAGAAAGGTCGAAATCTTTATTGTCAAATGAAAATGGTATGTTTGACGAAGCAGTAAAACGCCATTTAATAATTTTTTTCATACAGTCAAATAAGATTGCTGTCCAATGCAACGAAACTCTTGCAGCAGTCACTACTGCACTAAACATTCATTTGAACATTGCACAGAGCACCATAATAAACACAACAGCTGTTTTCATCTCATTGGAAAAAAACAACGATGGCATCTGTGTCATCCAAGCTTATTAGACAAGTTGGTGATGCTCAGATTCGCATGTCGCCTATGTTTGATTCAAATGTGACTGAGAATTCATCCGTGTTACTTCGAGTGAGTTGAATTAGTGATTTTTATCAATAACTTGTTTCCCTGTCTTCATTTAGTCCATAATGCAACCACTTGCCGTAGCTGGAGCCTCTCGATCTCAAGCAAAGACAAATTTGTCGACATCCATCTCACTCTCATTATTCGATCTAAATAGTAATGAGATTTCTATTCGTACCAGTGCCAATCATTCAATCGAGCTCCTTATTCCTCGAGATCCTAATTCTCTTATACCACCAATGACCTTGCAAAATGTTACTTCGATGAGTAGTGTGCAACCTTTTAATTTACATGTTGTCAATATGACTCAATTTTTGACCAACACTAATCTTAGTGTATCGCTACATTTCGAAATACGTCCTCTTAATGTGAGTCTTGGTTACTTGTTCATCTACAAATTCGATAATTCACCTGAACTAAACAGTGCGATCAATCAAATGGATGGATGGTCTTTACTTTGTCCTTCAAGTAAGTTTCGGTACTGTGATTTGAAAAAATAAACTTTTGCCTTAGATTTGACGAATGATAGCATCTAAATACGTTTCATCGATAATCGACATACATTACATCGTCAATCAGTCATTTTTGGCTTACGTGAGTTGAACTCGACAGAGATCGACGATTTCTGTTCGAATATATCAATCAGGGACCCACCTATCATCAACAAACCTTTCACTTTCTCGTCTGACTATGAACTGCGTGTTTACACATCTGGTTGTTATTATCTTGATGCAGATAACAATTGGCAATCAGATGGATTGTGGGTCAGTTGAAAAAAGATCTTATTTTTATATTAATGTCAGAATTTCTTCCATATAGGTTGGCCCTTTGACAAATCACTATCAAACACAGTGTTTTTCCACTCATTTGACCACATTTTCTAGTAGTTTTCTGGTTCAGTCGGCTCCGCTCAATCGGAATCATATGTCCATCAACTTTGTCCGTAGTGGTCTTGTTATGAATGACTTCAATATGTACATTTACTCGGACAAACTTTTCGATCTAGGAAGCAATATTTCTCAACTTGTGCAAATGCGCAAATACTCTCCACCATTGCTTTAATAATTTTCCAAGAAAGTTGATCAATCGTGTGTACGAATTTCTTTCTTCTGTTAGAGAAAATACTTGGTCTTTTCTTACATATTTGAAGAATTTACAAAGGACGATAAAAGACAACAAACTTGATATTTTCTTTCATTAGTCAATGTCTCGTGAATGTATGACATTAACTTTTGTCTTGGTACTCAACACTTATACTTCATATAATATGCGTATGAGAAATTATTAGCATACAAGCACTGAAAGGGTGTGGGTGTGCTTATTATGAAAGATATAATCCTCGCTACCATGAAGTTAGTTTTGGCTTTGCTTCAGGATCAGAGAAGATCTGTCATGGCTGTATTTTCGCTGACGAGCATGAGGAATCACAAAAAACAAAAACATTTTTAAACACATTTAGGGGAGATTGAGATTGCTTTCTGCGTTACAGTACTGTCTGATAAATCTAACTTTAATAGAAAACTGAAGTGTAGAAAATGAAAATCAGAGATCACAATCTGGAAATAGGAGTGAGAACGAATATAAGGAGACTTCGATTTGCTATACAATTTTATTTTCAATATTTCCATTATTTTCTTTTTCTATATGTTCATACTTTTAATTAAAAACAAAATCAGGATAAATTTGTTTTCTATGTATTAGAATGATTTGATTTGATTTAACCGAATACATTAATAATGCCAACGGTGTCGACAAGGAATCAAATCGAACCAAATTAAGATTTTGTTCCAGGTTGAATCGAATCGAGACGCTGTTATCTATTTCGTTCTTTAGTGGTGTATATTCTATTAGACACCATCAATATGAGCAAAATAACATAGTGTAGGCTACTTATTTCTAGTGGTTTGTAGTATTTCTAAATATAACTCTACACAGAAAGGCAAAATGACCAGAATATTTACTGTTTCTGAGAGGGAGTGTGGAATCCGAGTCTGAGTAAACTATGGTTAACATATGAGTGAGAATGGAGATCAGACCAAACACTTACACCCCTATGTTTTGAAAGATAAGCGGCAAATGATAAATATACCAAATGTGGTAATAGTGGCTACCAGCAAATTGGATCGCTCTCTCGTTGAATTTATGTTACCAATTGAGGATTTCTGTATCAAAGCAAAGTTATGTCAAAGATCTATTGAATTCATAATTGTGGTAATATTTTTTCTTGTTTTCTTATTCTGACATTAAATCCTCAACAACACAGTCAATTATAGGATTAATGACATAGAAATGAGTTTCCTTGATAATGAATTTATATTTTCAAAACTTGATTAAAACCGTGTGAAACTTGCATAAAAATTTGTAGTATTTGAATTTCTAATGATATGATCATTATTTAATAAATATATTTGAAAGTAAATTTTTATGTAGGATTTCGATTGCCTACACAAACACTGTAGCAGAACTGAAATAGTATTTATAATAGCTGATTATAAGTGTTTCTATTTTTTACATTTTCAGAAAATTGAAGAATAGCATTGTGTTTATTTAATCTGTTTGGAAAATCAGAACAACAAGTGTAACAGAAATTCCGATAGCAATTAGTGCATGTAATCCAAGAAGAATGTTCTTTAATCGTTGTTGTCGGAAATTGGTTAATTGTTCATCATTTCTATTGATCAGAAGAGGAAAAGAAGGCATTCCAGATTCTTTTGTCATACTATCGGATGTATCACTGCTTTGTGTCTTATCCAATGATGATGATTTCGACGAGTCAACTTTGCGTTGTACATACTCGAATGCAATGAAAATAGCTATCACCCAACATGCCCATACAATCATAATGATCCAAGCAGTATTATCAAGGAATATCGACGTGAAATAGATCGTAGCTAAAACAATAGCTGTAATTGAAAGTATAAATGCAACAAAGCCAACAAAAGCATGCAAATAGTTGAAAAAAAATCTGTATGGACTAGATGGTTCGCATCGAAACAATGCAATAAATGGTTGAAAAAATGCTAAGCCAACCACAATGACCCCTACAATAGCATGTGCAAATTCTTCTTTCTCCTTTACCCATCCACCTTTGTTGTAAACGAATATAAACATAAAGCCCAATACTGTTAGAATCGCAGATGCACTCATCAGAGTGAGATGAACGGTATACCAAACGGCTTTATCGCATATTAAATTGTTCGACCAGGAGTTTTTGAAGTAACGAGCGAAAAGTATACCAGTTGAGACGATCAAGATCCATGTAAATACTAGGATACTGCCATGAGCTTGTACAAGTATGGATTTTTTCTTTAATCGTGTGACATTGAATTCAATGGTTTCTGCACGGCTCAGTTGAACAAAACGAGATTGAACAGTACGCGCGTTTCCTGCATGTTGTTTTAATTCATCTGTAAAATAATTATGTCGATTAGTCTCATAGAAAGACAATCGATAAAAATGATATCACTTACTTGAGGAATCGAGCTGTCCAATTGCGAACATCGGATGATAGCGAGTCGATTGTGAAAGTTTTCGTATGCCATCGACTTCTTTTCTCAGCGAAGTGGTAAAATTGGACAACGTGAATTGACAATAAACAACACCATTTTCGAATATCTGCTGTTCTGCTGTAAATGTTCCACCTTGCTCTGATCCAGCAAGAACAGGGTGAGCATGACCACTAGGATTGATATATCTGTTCACATCGACGGTATCATTCGCAAGTCGTCGACAAATAAACACATGAGCTTCACCCTGAATAGAAAACAAGACTATTCGCTAATGATTCAGCATTATCTGTGCAGATATAGTTGTTCTTCCTATACGAGCTCCTATCTTTTTAATTATCATCATCATCGTCATCATCAGATAAAACTTGGGTATGCTTAGAGAAATATCTTTTTTTTTTAATTTTAACTTCTTTTCAATATGTAGAACATTATATTGTACTCGTCATTTTTCAAGGATGACATTAATAGATACCAAATCAGACATTATGAACGAACCATGTCATCACGTTGAGTAAGAGCAATGGCAGCCCATTCCGCTGACATGAGATTGGTGATAGCCATATGAGCTCTTGTGACATTCTCAGAATCAAATGTCCATGAAACATTGACACTTATATGGTTATTAGGTGGAGGGTTACTCGTTGTGGTACTCGACGGTAGGATGGTAGCTGTTGTATTCAATGGTTCACTTGTTAAAGGACTAATTGTTGTGACCAGTTCGTTGACTACCTAAATGCAATGAGTTAAAGTTTATTAAACAAATCTATTTCAGAAGATAAAACATCCAAAATTTGTCATTGTACTGTTGAAGAGGAAGATGTATTTTTTAATATCTACAAATTCGAGAGGTATTATGGGTAGGCTCGTATATAGGATAATATGGGGATAGAACACAGAAAAACTAGCAATCACTCCAAATGAGACGTAATTGTATTCTTCTCGCGATGTTCTGATAGATATATACTGGTATTCATCATTCTTTAAGACTTCATACTCACTCGTGAAGTTAAGGTTACTTTGTAACAATTGATGAAGATGATGCTCTCAGTTTCGGCAATAGTCGCTCTAAACAAAACAAAAAACAATTTCATACGAACGAATCCTTATTCAAAATATCTTCGAATATCTCTACTGGATTTCGATATTGCCAACAAGATTAGGTGGCACGTGGAAAACAGCTTCAACACTATTTTTATCCACTTGTGAGTTGTGAATAACTCCACCGCAAGAAACATTGCGAACAAACAGATCATTTGTTGTCCAACTTCCAACGATCGTATTGTTACTGTCTTTTGCGAACAAGAGGATTCCTCTGAACGTTGTGTCAGATGAAATTCCACGAACCACGACTAAACGTCAGAAAAAACAATTATCCATGTAAAAGTAGATGACAAAATATCTAGTTTTTATCATTAATATTTCGGATGAATATTTTTCTCAAAATTTCACTACGAAACCTACAATTTCTTATGATTTTTTTCATTTCTATTTTGAAACATTGGAGTTTTCAATCAATTAAAATTTTGGACTCGCGATTCGACTGTAATTGCCCTGGTATTCCAACTCACCGTGAATAGCGTCGCCTACTGCGTAACTGTCTGTTGCTGTGGTGATCATATAGCCAGATGAACAGCTAGAGACAGCTGCACCATGTAGCTGTGGCATTATTTCTGCGCATGCAGTAGATATTTTCTCATAATGGCTGTTTCCTTTCCAGAACAGTGAAAGAATAAGCAAAATTACTACAAACAGTTTCATCTAAAAGAAATACTTTTTCATTATTTAACTTGTTCGTAAACAAGGCGGTCAAAGTGAAACTTCAAAGCCTTGATAACAAATTCAAGTCTATCTTTTCTTTTTTACACGTCAGTATATCAACATCATCATACGATATAGCATATGTTGGTAGACTGGAGCGAAATATCGATACACAGAATCTAAACTACTCAATTTGAGCAGAAAATATCGACAGTAAAGGCATACAAGTGCAGTTCCTTCGCAAATTCAGTCATCTCTTTTTTGCATTTATGTAGTTCGCATAAATGCTTGCCTTTGATATACTCTTTTTTACGTTCTGATTTTATCACATGTTTGCTTAGAGTATCATTGCACGTGCATATAAAGGACAAACGAGCCTCGCATGAGTGTATATTTATGCGGATTCGGTCGGAATGTGAATGGGATAAACACTGAACTATAGATAGATTCAAAGCAGTACATAAGGTCTCATCCTTGCTTAAAAGACTCATAAGTTATATTTGGAATGCTTGCTTTTGAGTATGTATACAGTTACTTCTCAGTTTTTTTTCTATGCATTTACAAGCTTGAGAAATGCTTATAAGAAGTTAATTATGGATGGTATCTTTTCACTATTCCGATTCTGAATGATTCAGGCTTGTACAGATGTACGTTTATGAAGAAAAAAAGAACATAGAAATATATGTTTACTACTTCACAATTGTTGAAGGTTTTATTTGAATGAAAGTAGTGACATTATTTTTAAAATGTTCAAAAAACGATGTTCTACTCTCAAATGGCAAGTGTGTTGGAATAATTTAACAGTTTGTTTCATTGTGCATAAGGCTTCATTCTGGTTAGCACTTCAGTTGATAATTTCTTGTGTATGAAGTACATCTCGATGAGTCTGTAGAGTTTGTGGAATCGATCGAGCTTGGACATTGAAAAAAGTTGAATAGTTAGACATGTATGACTGATGCCACCTTGTTTCCTTAGTTTATCATATTTATTTATGCAAAATTTCTTGTTCCCGATGGTATAAAATGACTCAGCGTTGAATTTTTTCTATTATCAACGAATCATTCATAGATTAGCCTGCTGTTAATTAACTAGTCGCTACCTATAGACCAGTCGATCGCCAGTATAGCGGTTCTATCTCTGAGCTGTGCTACTGCCCAATGATCTTGTCAAAAGTCACAGAAGCAGTGACTTCGTCAAGAAAAGTTTTTTTTAAAGAACCTAACGAAACTTTTTCGAATTTGATCGATTTCAGACCAATGCCGATCAATTTCAAAAATTGGAATGGTGCACCCGTATGGTCAACATTTGAACATCATAGTCTAAATTCTAAACTACAATGACAGTAATCTTTGGCAGGAAAATATCAAACCATTTTTATTGTAAGATTATTATAATTCGGAGTCATACCTCTGTTTATAGAAACTTATTAATTTTAATGACCAATCTGTCTATGGAAAAAGCATAATTTGAGAAATTGTGTCTATTTTGTATTTTATTTCAATCAATGGTTCAAGAAAGAAGCTGGCATTGGTAGAAGAAATGGTCGAAAAAGAAGAAAACAGAGAAAGCTAGGTCTGATAGGTTTTCGTACTCGAAAATTGTTATCGTTCTAAAGCATAGTTGTACAAAGTATGAAGTCAGTTCTCAGCGACAGTTATAGACAACCATGAACGATTTGAAGTATAAAACGCATGGATCACTAAGCGCACTGTTGCTCGTAGTAAAATTACAGGATTGAAGGTTTTCACATCTATTAATCGCTATTTGGGTGACCGTCATTGCTGAACAATTACAGTATGAACACATACAACCGGAACAATTCGAAACTCCATAAAATGCTTGAACAATATTCAGTATTAGTGAACTGTTGCAAACGAGCTTAATTGCACCACCCTCTTGATATGTATAAGCTAGATTTGCTATAGAAAGAGAGAGCGGACTATTTTGTAAACTTGTCGATAGAAAATATAACATATCAACAACATTGTTAGTAGTTGCAGTGACGGTGCTTGTTATCGATGAGTTCACTAGAAGATAAATGTTATTACTGGCTCAGTAGTAAGTTGATACCAATCATAAGCAAGTATAATCGAGAATAAAGCAATTCTCTCAAATCTGTAAAAAACGCTATCTAATTGTCTCCTATGCTCGTCCTCAATAAGTTGACACTTGAGTTTAACTGAGTTGTCAACTTTGCACTATCTATTTCCAAAACATAAGAGCGATTCTCAAAGGCAGACTGCCACAAAAGCACGAACATATCAAATCTCTCTCAGTCAGTAGTGTCAAACATGTAAACGGAATTTAGCTTGTCAAGTTATCCCAAGCATCACCGATTGCAATACCATGCATACTTCAGATGGGTTTAATAAACCATCCAGTATGTAGTAAAAGAGTAGTCTTTTGGTAGATAAAACATTAAAAGAGATATGGTTGTGGTTTTTTTGTCGGTGTCTGTCCATGTCGATCAACTTGGGTTGTACACGGTCGTTAGTAACCGTTTACGATACGGCGAAATACGGCCGTAATACAGTGCATGCCAAAACGTCGAATTACGGCGATTTACGGTCGGAAACATTATAAAACGGCAGTATACGTTATTGTATGCGGCCGTTTACGATCGTATGAAGTCGTCGTAATGTTCGTCCTGGGTGTATTGCCTTCGGCCAATCATGCCTACGCCCACGCCCGCAAGATTACAAGATTAGCCTACTCGACATATATATATATATATATATATTTTTTTTTTGTTCGGTTCTGTTTAACGAACATTTGGCCATTGTAGCTACTAAGCATACCCATGTGTTTCATTACGATGAAACTGCGGCGCAGTTACGCCGTAACTGCGATCGCACTGTGACCCGTAATTGCGGAAAATTGCGACGTAGTTACGCGCAACTACGATGAAAAAATCGCAGTNCATTTTCTCTATTGGATGGTGTATGTATTGTCAGACCCTACTGTGTTCCTTTGCAAGATCATTACATGGCGTTATCATGTGAATGCTATAATATTCCACAATACATAGTGAAAGGCATGTATTATCTTCCTTTCAGTAGAACGAATAAAATGACTGTTTCCAAATTTCAATTTATTTTATGCTCATACGCCACTTTTCAATCATTTTAAAAAATAAATATTCACTGATTTTTTTAACAAATCAAGTTAGTTTGATAGGCTTTTGAAAAGCTCAAAATTTTTCTATCTTCTAAAATGTTACTGTAGCATTCACATCGTTTGCTGGTTTTTCCAAAGGGAAATGGTCTTCATTGCTGTTTATTTGTGGGTGAACACCTGCTTTATTAGCGCTGTTTTCGTTCTTGATATATCGTCCAGGATGAAAAACGTTGAACGCGATAAACGCGATAACCATCGGAAGACCATCCAGACACGCAAAATAGACCTCATGAGTAATGATATAACCAGACCAGCCACCTTGTAATTCAACAGTTCGATAAATGCAACGAATGAAAATCATCAAGGTGATAATGCTCATGCCAAAAATTAAAATTCTTAAGTCTTTTGTTAGGATCACGTTTGATAGGGTTATTCGGATAATATATATCACGACAAATATTATATATATTGTCATGGTAAACATTTGCCAACAAATACCTCCGATCATGATATTTGTACCCAGCGTCGTGTCACCATTAGTCGTGACTGCAGTTGCGGCTATTCATCCGCCGACAGATTGTATGATAAGAGAGATTAGATCAGCAATGACAAAGATCACGGTGTACCATTGTGGTGCCAGTATTGAGTATTGACGACCAACCATGATGACGATCAGACCAAATACAACATAGAGTGCAGCTGAGAAGAACGATGGTGCAATAATTAGTGTCACAGTCTGTGCGAGAAATGCATCAAGATTCGTATCATCTGTCCATGAATATATTCGAGCCGCGTAGCCGATAATCTCTGTTATTCCACCGATTAATAGTACAATAAGCCACCACATGCGAGATGTGAACATTTGATAAGTATGAACGATAGTAGAGATTGTAAAAAGCAGCAAACCTGTGATATCGACTCCCAAAGATGGCTGATATCCATATTGAGAAGAAATAGTACTGTTGCCAATGGGAGGAGGTACTGAAGCCATATTCTAATAGTAGTGTCAAGGACTTGTAGATGCCACAAAAAAGTTCTTTTTAAGTTTCTTTGAAAGTTTACCTGATAGAATAGGAAGGTCACTGTTGCGGTCAGTGCTCTACTATATTTGGTTCATTTGGAATTTGCACAAAAGAGTATAAGAAACAAAATAAGTTGATTCTATGATATGAATTGTTGTATGTTCTCTTAAAAAAATAGAATACACAAGTTGATTTGTTGACATTTGAATTCTCGGTAATATTTCTGATAATACAATTTGAATAGAAAATGTGAAGCTGTTGACGTTATTCAATTGCCAGATTTATGGGTTATCCCTCTGTCTCATTCAATTGCACATTCTAAGAAGATTTCTTGTGGTTTTCGAATAAACACTGCCCTTCTAATATCAATGTTTTCAATGAGAATTCCGGTCGAAATAAACAACTAAGAAAAAAAAAGAGTTAGAGCAAAAAAGATCAATCTGAAAATCTAAACTACGGATATTTGGCAAAAATGTTTTAACATATGATAGATACATGATGAACAATATCACATCGCGTATTATCATCCATTACTACACTGGACAAGCATGGTAAGTTAGGTAATCTGTTGTTTTAGCTTCTAAAACTGAAGCAAGCCAGCAATTCATCTGTGAATCAAGTTACAAATAATTTTGATATGAAAGCATTATAAAGCAACGCACTGATCGACTAAACAATTGCCATAACACTAGACAAGTTAAGGCACGTAGATAATGCAGACAACGGTCTGAATCAATATTAAATCAGTGAACCCGTGTATTACGCAGAGAGTAACTCACTGTTTTAATTTCTCGATAAGACGTTTGAAAAAAATCGGCGGTGTAGCGGTGGAATCACAATGGCTCGGACTGAATAAAAAATTCAAATATTTTACAGAGGTCGACCAAACATATTCAAGACTGTTACTAAATATAAATTTTCATACACTGTAAAGAAAGTGAATGATTGAGACGGTTAGTTGTTCTTTATCATGTTCTATTGAAAATTTCAATTGAATAAAGTGCATTGAATGTCAGGTGCGCAAAATAGATGCTTTTTGGAATTTGAATTTTGTTTTTCACAATTCCAAGTGAGCGGCAAATATCCATCTGCATCATAGATACCTACTCTCTGAGTTGAAGACTAGGAAAAACATTTTCACAACTTTTTTGAATATATTTAAAGTTATTAAATAAAGTTTGAATTAAGCGTGAATCAAATTTGAAAGAAAAATAATTGAACAATCCACACGATAAAACTCACAAATATTGATCTTAGATAAATCCAACACTTTTAGACTGCACACCATGCGAAAGACATTAAAATTTTACTATCAAAGTCAGAAGTGTCACATATCCTACAGATCGGGCATGCTAGGGATGCCACCAGAGATGCGGGATACACAACAATGACACTCCCAGCAAGTAAAATATCATCGCTATAAGAAATCAATCACTCGCATTCTGTATCTACAACAAAGCTGCCGCGTCTCACGCAGAGACACTGCATCTCCCGATGAAAAAATATTTTTCGATTTTCAGGCCCTAGACCCCACCGCATATACGCCGAACTTGAAACCTGAATTCAACTGAAACTCCAACTTTCAACTTTCCAGTTTCACCTCATTGCTCTGACACTACTGACGAATCTTTGGTACATGTGTGTGTAGACGAACATATATGTCCCTTCCCCGGCACCCACACCCTTGAAACTTGATAGTTGAAGGTTGAAACTTGAAAGTTGGAGTTTCAGTTGAATTCAAGTTTCAAGTTCGACGTATATGCGATGGAGTCTAGGGCCTGAAAATCGAAAGATATGTTTTCATCGGGTGATGCAGATGCCAGATATGCGACATCTCTCTGTGAAGAAGTGCGGGAGATGCGGCTTCTCACGCAGAGACGTAGAATACACTGAAATAATTCTATGTAGCTATAGTATTGGTATTGTGTTATTAATAGTTTTGCATGTTGGCGTCTCTGTTGGCATCTCTAGCATCCCCGATATTTCGGATTTGTGACACCTCTCATCAAAGTTTACTTTAGCAAAAAACCAAATCGATACATAGAGGAAGTCAAGAGCAGGTGATTAAGGGATTTTATCGTTTATTTAGGAAATTCCATTAACGAACATCATTGTTTTCATACCATTCGATTCTTTTAGCTTTTTTTAGCAGCTATATAAGATTTGTCTTGAGCTAGGGCTGCAAAAAAATCTTGCTCACTAACGCAGAAGCCCGATGTCATGAAAATGAAAGAAAATAGTACATTACTATTCTTTCTCTCTCTCTTTCTTTCTTACTAGTTTACTACAGCAGCAATATATCTGCATACTTTAGCTACTTCATCCGCATGAGTATAGTAAAAAATATAGAAAGAAAAACATTGTCCCCTTACCATCGGTTTCACCATGGATGTCATGCGAATGTTTATACGTACTGTGGGTTTCTGAGCGAATACGTTCTCTACTGATGTAATATGACAAAAGCATGAATAATAACACAAAACTATTGTCAAGTCATATTCAACAAGAATCGCTCCACTTGACGATTATTTGTTTTGTATAGTATTTTGTAGTATGAAAAAAAAATCAAATTCAGACCCTGAAAAGCATACAACACTGGTCGATATCTTCTCAAAACTTTATCATAGACAATAAAAATAACCACTTACATGCGGCCGATATAAACACGTTGCTTCTGCTTCTTCCGCAAAATAAGTAAACGACGAGAAAGTAGTTGTAATGGCATGACAGTTAGATTTCTCATTGTCATACTCTACTTCAACTTTCTCGCTTTTTATTAATCTGCCTAGCAAAACGAAAAAAACCAACAAACAAGCAAAAGATCATGACTCGTGAAATAACAGAAGAATGAACCAAAGAGAAAAAGAAAAAAGATAATAAAGTACATTATCTCCTATCCTAACAGTTACTTGTAAGTAGAACCCGTTCAAAAACGTTGGCTCGCCACTGCATACGCGCAGTAGGAAGTTCTGAATAAAATGAATAACGTTTTTCATCTAGAAGTGCAGTACTATAGTTAAATTTTATGTTTCCTCCACAAAATAATAATTCAGAAAACGTCGTCGTTTCTGATTATACAACATTATGGTAAGATAGTACCCGGAGAACCCGTTTGCTCCGATGAAAGAAAAGCCTGCGCCGAAAAAAATAAAAAATCTGATTGGTAGATACATTCAAGAAAAAGAAATAGAAAACCAGTGCTGCAGTAAAGAGAGGGAGAGGGAGAAAAAGACGGGCAGCTGACAAAAATGACTGTTTCACAAAGAAATAGTTGTCAATCTCATAGAATTTGAATCATTTTTTCTGCACTTCATTTCATTCCAAGGTAGTTGTGGATGTTGATGCTTACTTTAGAGAAAACATAAAAATACAAAATAGAAATGAAGAACAAAACAAGAGGGAAAAGAACAAAACAGACAGAAAGACAAAAAAAGAAGTAATGCTCATGTCGGTGACTCAATTTAGGTGAAAGAATCAACAAATTTGTGAAAAACATAAAAATTACAACATGGGAAACGACACAAGGATTCACATTGAAACAGAATGGTAACCACTTGTAAGTGATTCCGCTAAGATATCTTTCGGACTATTACACTCAAATCGTGAGCAGGTCTAATCTCAGTTATCGTCTTCATAGCTCGCAGTTGGCCACATGAAAAATGTTATTTGCTTGATAAATAAAGAATCAAATGAATGCAGAATTGCATTCCATCGATATGCTTTGTGTTATTTATTTGATTATACAACAATCATTAAGGGTCTACATTGAAATTCTATAGGTACGAATGAAAGATTACAAGTATAACGAAAATTTTAGTTAAATTAAAAAAGCAAGTATTCAAAGCACAAGTATAAGATAAAGTATTTTAGTTAGAAGAACAGAGTTGTGCAGTGAAACAGACATCGTGTTATCATTCAGTCATTGTATTTAAACTGAATAAAGCAACACAACTACGAAATATTGGATATGCACTATTAATGGTTGTGCAGCTAAAGTGCATATACTGATTCAAATAATGGATTGATGAAAAGTATTGGCAATCATAGCCATCTTCCAGAAAAAGAAAAACTTAAGGTCGTGAAGTTCGTGAAAAAATAAAACAGCGAACTATAAATGAAACAACACCTATTCCACGCATATACGATGAAGAATGTGCAAAAGCTATGTTATCAAATACTGCAATAGCTATCTTACCAAGAGAACGTGAAATGAGTAAGAAAATTTTGTTCTATTGTATTTAATTTCTATCAATCATTTTTCTTTATAATTTTAAGATAGTAGAATTAATAAAGCATGCCGTGCTATTACACCTATAATTCCAACGACTCAAATAATTTGATATTCCTGAGTGTTATTCGAAAACTTTGGACAAGAACAAGTTTTTAATTACTGACAAGATGATAACAAGACACCAACGAACACTTGTATTTTCAACAAGTGAACAACTTAAAATGCTTTTCGCTACTGAAACAATACTCATGGATGGCATGTTTTCAACATGTCCCAGCATCTCTGATCAAGTTTATACGATTCATGCGATAAAAAAATATGATCAATGTGAGTTGATAGAAAAGACCTTGACTATATAAGTGTCTAATTTTTTTTAGCCTTTCCTTGTGTTTTTGGCTTATTACCAAACCGACAAAAAAAAGTACATATCACTTTATGTTTCGTGAGTTGAAAGCACTAGCTGTACTTGCACTCGAAGTAAGTATTGTGTATTTATTGAAAATACATTTCAGATTTTTCTTTTCTTTTATAGTTTGTTACAGCAACACATTTATCTTGTTATTTTCATTTTACTCAAGCTATTTATCGAGCAATACAACGAGCCGGCTTATCAACAGCATATAATAATGATGATGATATTAAAAAATATTGTCGAAAATTAATGGCGCTTCCTTTATTATCAGAAGCGATTATCGAAGATACTTATGATGAATTAATCACTACAATCCCATCAACATTGAAGGACACATTAAAGGATTTATTACAATATTTTCAGGAACAATGGCTTAACAAAGTACCTGTTCCTCAATGGTGTGCACATAGTCTCAACATCAGAACCAATAATAATGCTGAAGGTGATCGTTTTCTTGTATTTAACTCAGAAATTTATCTTCTTATGCTTCATTTAACATTTCATAGTGGCTTCAATCGTCGAGTACAAATTAGCCATCCAAATATATGGTCATTTGTTAAGCTTCTTCAAGGAGAAGAAAACCATTTTCATCATACTTATGTTCAATTCATGGCAGACTTAGGGACACAATCAAAACAAGCTAAAACGGTTGCTATTCAACGTCGTATGGATAAACTTGGAGAAAGATATTATGATGGAGCAATACATGCTATGGAATATTTAGATGGCTTATCATTTGCAGTTCCTAAACGGAAAAAATAACTTTTTAATTTTCTTTTATATTTTTCTCACTGTTAAGATTTCAACTTAATTTTATGCAACGGCCGTATGGGCCGTATCTAGTCGTCGTAATGCACGGCCTGGGCTTATAATCGATTTTTGCTCGTGTTCCTATTATAATTTCATTGAAATAAGTGTATTAATATTTTTGGAACTGGTTCCTGGGAAATCGATTAAATCTCCCATGACGAACAATCGGATAACTGGATCTTAAGGGAATCCGACTCCGGAAACTTCTATCGATTTCGGCTGTTATATTCATTTATCTGAATACACAACTAGCTTTTGAATAACAATAGCTTATTGTTAGAAAAATGGTATACGGTTATGAGCGGTGGAGCAATCCCCATGTCGCCTCTTTTTTACTAACAGCGCCGCAGTTACGCGTAACGACGTCGCATTGATCGTAGTGAAGACCTCTATAAGAAACTACGCTTACTGCGACGTAGATCAACGTAACTGCGTCCTTCGCAGGGTCCGATCCGTTGTAACTGTAACTGACCAATTATAAATAATTCCTCCCTATCTGCAATTGACTACAATGGAGCACAAAAACTTAGCCACAGAAGGTCAGTATAAAACTCAGTGTTCATTACACTTCAGTTCTTAAATCATTTTATTATAAATAGTAGGATACTTATAATGAAAGCGTTTTTTTTTAATTTTTCTAATCTTTGGATTTTTATTAATATTTTTTTCTTTTATTTTTCCAATTTAACAAAAATTTTCTACATATTATTTTATCTAGTTTTTATTTTTTAATTTCTTTAAATTTTTGTTATCAATTTATAAAAATTGTAATTTCATATTTTTCAAGTTTTTTATTTTATGTGCTTGAAATTTTTTGTTTTAATTCATAATTAAAATACAAATAAAGTGAAAACCTAATCTATATCATCTCTTGTGATAATTTAATTGCGCCCTAGCTGTGATTGCATTGTGACTCGTAATTACGAAAACTGCGACCCAATTACGCGTAACTGTGATTTTTTCATCGTAGTTGCGCGTAACTACGTCAGTTTCATCATTTTACCTTTCATCGAAAAGATGTTCCTGTATTCACTCATTTTTATGTCTGTAAAATGATGAAAATTTTTGTTGTACTATCAAAGTTTTTCATCAATGATCAACATAAACATTAAAAAAAGCCGTAAATCTTAGCTAAAACAAACAAAATAGTCATAAGCAAAAACGCTACTATTAACAAACGAGAAAAGCTTTTCTACTCTGATTGTTTAAAATAAAATCACAGAAGATTTCATTCGGGTTCAATTGGTCTAATTTCTTTCTAAGAATATGAGGAATCAGAACATAATTAAAACGCTATAATGTCATTGTTGATCGTAGGCATGTCTTTTTTCGATTCAGAGTCGTTATAATTGTATCTCTCAAATATAAAATCAGTAGATTCTCATTCAGTAGATCGGAAATAGATTGAATACATGAAAAATTTTCATATGGGAGGCTTAGGTCTCTCCATACCTAATAGCTTCGCTGCCCATGATTAGGGTGTGCCAATAAATAAAAGGTATTCCCACACTCACACACTCAAGATTTGCATGAATAAGAGTTATTATTTCTAGACTAAAAATGATCCCTCATATATACGTATATAGCAAACATATATAATCGTTTTTATTGAATAATGAGTAACACGATACAATCAATCGTCAAATAATTAAAAAAAACAAAAACAAAAACAAAAACTATATTTTCATCAATTGGTTATGATTCTACAAGTATTTTTTCAAATATGATATGGTTCATGAGATGCGGAAAATTCCGAATAATACAAAAGAAATGAAATATTGCTTCGTTGATTATTGCATATGCTTATGCATGAGTTCAGTAAGGTCTTCAATAAGTTGTTTTTGTTCATTTGTCAATTCGGTTGCTAATAATTGTGCTTTGATTTGATTGAATTGATTAATGTCGTTGCTCTTTGAGATTTTTTGTAGATAAGATTCCACAAAGTTCATTGGTTCAGTAATGTTTTCCGATGTTCTATATCGATTAGCTAGTTCATAATCTTTCATAGCAAACTTCACATTACGAAAAAATTCGTATCTCATATGATTCGACGGTAAGACATTATCAACAAAATGTATTAGCTTTTGATAATAATCATTTTTCAAGTCTATTAATCGTTGAGTATAGTCGTCTCGTTGTGTTGGAGATAAATCCGTCCAAGATGTTTGTGAACCTGCTTCTACTCTTTCATAATTGTATAGTAGATAAGATGTTGTTGGTGGACGCTGTGGTAAACCAACAGCAGAAAAATACGCAACTATATCTTCATTTTTAACTAATAATAAATGCAATGTTGCAATTTGATTTTCTATAATACTTGGATTTGATTGAAGAAATTCGCTCCATTTTTTAACTGACTTTAAAATATATTTTATTCGTTCGCTTTCATCTATTTGATTAAACATCGATCGAATATAAGCATTTTTTGTCATGGTTCTTGTAAACGTCGGTTTATCATTATCTGAAACGTTTGTCTCATAATAGAGCACACTTGGTATACATTGATGAATAATATTAAGTTGACCTCGAGATAATTTCGGTTGATTATCAACTGTTGTTGTTGTTATTGTTGATGGTTGTAAGCTTTCAGGTAATGCTGTTAATGATTTACGACGTTGGCGAATAGTTGCTGAAGAAATAATATCATCATAATCGTTAATAAAAGATGTATGAGCTATTTGACGGTTAGTTGGCGATGGTTCAGCAAACAGTAAAAAGTCTGTTCGAAGACGTTCAGGTAAGTCATTAGCAAAATTTCTTACTTGAGATAAATATTCAGCTTTAGCCTACAGAAAAAAAATGAAATATTAATATTGAAGAAGAGATACAATATTTTTAATTTTATCCGGTGCTTGCATATTCTTTGTCAAACACCTGTTTTTCTATACACTTGTGGTAAATAATGGATTCTTAGGAATTGCATATGTCGAAAAGAGGGTACTTTTCCACTTGAAACTTTCAGAATATTCTAGGAGCATAAAACTTAAGATTCTACCTCTACTGAAGTGAATAGACTATTATATGAAGAGGATATAGTATATTTTTCTATATATATATGTTGTGGTCAAAATTCAAATCCGGGCAAAATTTAAATTTGCCTGGGCAAAATTCAAATTAGAATTTTGCCCAGACAGAATTCAAATTTGAATTTTGCCCAAAATAATCTCAGTCTAAATTCTAATTTGAATTTTGCCCAGACAGAATTCAAATCCTAATTTTGCCTAACAAAATCTTAGTCAAAATTCAAATTTTGTTTTCTACTCAAAAAGTTCAAATTTTTATTTTTACTCACAAAGTTCAAATTTTTATTTTTACTCAAAAAGCTCAAAATTGTCTTTTACTCAAAGAAATTTGAGTATCGAGTTTTACTCAAAAAAATTCGAATTTTGGGTTTTACTCAAAAAAATTCGAATTTTGGGTTGTACTCAAAAAAATTCGAATTTTGGGTTGTACTCAAAAAAATTCGAATTTCAATTTTGACTACACGAAATCGGAAATTCTTGAGGGTGTGAGATGTGAGTGAGGGTGCGAGGTGTGGGTTAGGGTCAGTGTGGGTGTCGGTGTCATGGTGTTGTTCATCAATAGGAATTTCCGATTTCGTGTAGTCAAAATTGAAATTCGAATTTTTTGAGTAAAATTCGATACTCAAATTTTTTGAGTAAAAGACAATTTTGAACTTTTTGAGTAAAAATAAAAATTTGAACTTTTTGAGTAAAAAACAAAATTTGAATTTTGACTAAGATTTTGTTAGGCAAAATTAGGATTTGAATTCTGTCTGGGCAAAATTCAAATTAGAATTTAGACTGAGATTTTGTTGGGCAAAATTCAAATTTGAATTTTGCCCGGATTTGAATTTTGACCACAACATATATATATATTCTTTTTCGTTTCTCTTTTATTCAAAGATAGAAATTCTCACTTCTTTTCTTCTTCTTTTGTAATTTTGTTTTTCACTTGTACTCAAAGATTTCCATGCTGGTTCACTATCATCATCAGTTTCTTGTTTAACAATTTGATTATAATAAGGCACTGCTGTTCTAAAATAAATTAAAATGGTCTATCTAGAAAAGAACTCAATAATTGATCTTATTTTATTTTACCCTGGTGGTTTTGGTGGAGCATTGATTGATTCGAAATATTTCTTTTGTTCGCCTTTCATTAATAGATAGTCAAACAATTTACATTCAATTTGTACACTTTCATCAACATCTTTTTCATCCTAAAGATTAATTATGAATGTAAAGAATTTTTAAATACAAGAACAAAAAGTATAATTTACAAGTAATTGAATATATTTGTCGACTGACTTTTGTAAATATCTTGCTTGTTTATCTTTTGGTAATTGACAAAATTTTACTCGTAAAGTAAATGGATTATCCTGTAAACGAAGAAACCAAAAAATAATGTATTCGTTAAAAAAAATTCAGAGTAATCCTTCTGAGATTAAATCTCATAGACAGTTTTAAAAATATATTCTATACATACTGCAATTCCTTTTCGTTTTTCTTTATTAATAAATAAACGTAAAGGTCGAACCGATTTGATTCTAAAATATTATAAAGCATTTACTTTTGTTCTAGAATAAATTCGTTCAACGTACTCTTTCAAAATTTCTTCAGAAACTAAAGTAGTCGAAGGTTTTGGTCTTTGTCCTCGCGGCATAATATCTAGAGTTACAAAAAAAGAACACTATAAACAATTATCGAAATTTGGTAATTTCAAAAAATATTTTTGCTAAATATTTTATTCCGCAAATAAAATTATACGAAATAAAAATTTTATTAAAGAAAAAAACTATTTGAAAAATGGAGAAATCGAATTAAGGATAAAGAAAAAGAAAAAGGTTCTTTTTTAGCTGAAAATATTATAAAATATAATAGAAAAATCAAAACAAAGATCATTTCACGCAAGTACAAAATAATTAGTTAATATTATTCTTATCAACCATACGAAAAACATCTCAGTAAATAGATGCAAATTTTGGTGAGATAAAAGTAGACTCACATTAGAAATATTCTTCTTATTAAATATTTCTATGAAAGGTTTTTTTTTAGTAATCATTACTCGATAAAAAAATTGAACTGAGTGTAGATTCTAGATCTTAAAAAATATCAAGAATACCGAAAATAATAAAGGCAATAACAATGACATGCATTTACAATTAAATATTACTTATATTGAATAGAATTTTTTCATTGAATTAGTAGTAAAACACCGCGAGATGATCATAGCAAGAAATAGTAATAACTGAAATAATATTTGGCCAAAAAATTTGATTCACATAGCTTAGATAAATATATGTAAATTTGAGTGTCATGACTCATTGTTAAGAGATAACAATAATGGATCTGTTTCTTGGGCTACATGCATTGATGTTTGACGAAAATCAGCTTCATCCTTGGATAAATGATCATTTTTTGAATTGACAGTTTGAGTAGATTCATAGTCAGTTGGTGGAGTCTTCTAAAGGAACCCAAAATTTCCATAAATATTATTGAAAGAAAAATAAGAAAGAAAAAGAAACATGCGCATCAGAACTATTTTTATAACAGTGCCTAAAGTTCTGAATGCATGGAGAAATTGCGATACTTCAAGAGTTGACTTTACTGCTTGTGACATTCTAAAAGAATATTAAACACAAAATAGCATGGAAAATTTTTAATTTATTTGGATGAATCAATGCTAACAAATAGAACTGTATCTATTAAATAGATCCTAATAAACTATAAATCGCTTAGAACTGTTCACATAATTCTAATAAGAAACTTTACACAGAGAAAATCTCAGATGACTTGAATTTATTTCGAAGTAGCATTACCTGTGTTAATGTTCCTATTTTATCCGAGAAAATATATCCAACTTGTCCTAATTCTTCATTCAATGCTGTTGTACGTGCTAATGCCGGAACATTATTTGGTTCATAATACATTTTAATATTCAAATCAATCCATTTTGATTGTAATAAACGTATGAATTCGATACTAACAGATAAGGATATTGGCACAACCCTATTGAAAATAATAATATATGATAGAAACACTAATAAACTGTTTTGAAGTGAACCAATTCTTTTATCAGTTGATACATATGCTTTCCATGGTGGATATATACGAAAATCAAAACCAAAAACTGATTCCCAAAAGTCACAACATATGGTCGTAATGGTACACATGATTGCTAAGAAACAGGCAATCTAAATCAAAGAATAATATTGATTGAGACAAGAAAAAAGAAAAGTCTCTTACACCAAGAAAAATCTTATTGAGTAAGCGATCAATTCGGGATCGTTTAAATGTTGATGTACCTGTATTTTTCATTAGTTTAGTATCGGGTCCAGCATAGCAAACAACTAAATTTTTGCCCAATAATTTATATTCATGTGATAGAAGGAAAAAACTTTTCTTACTTCCAAATGCCCGGTGAGCATTTCTTAAACGCGTACCACGTAGTAAAACATTATCATTTTTTAATGGTAAAGTTTTATTATTCCATATTAAATTTTCATTGAATAGTTCTAGATTGTTATTCGACGCTTCATATTCAAATTGAGCTGAAAAAATAAAAATATTCACGTACTAAATTTAAAATTATAGCTTTCTACCATCAATGTCGTGCTTTAAGATTAGTTTCTCCATCGAATTCAGCTGTTTTGAGTTCACTAGTTGATATCAAAACAATATATAGCCTTCAAAGAAAAACATTTTCAAGATAGAAAACGTTTTTGTTTTCAAAATTCTTACAGTTAAGTCGCTATTGGTTAATTGTACGATATCGCCAACAACGGTTTTTATTTCACGGTTATTCACATGACGATCACTGCGATGTCTAACCTTGAGAATACATAGAATGTAATGAATTTAAAAAACGTAGTTTTTCTTTCATTTCTGAACCAACAATATCATCAGTAGCATCTTTAATTGCAGTTAAGGCTAAGACAAATACAAGTGGTGATATTGTTGTTATTGGAGCTAGAGAACTGATTTGTGGAATAAGCTGAAAACAATGCAGAAAATTAGATTCTACATATCTGAGAAGAATAGGATCTACCTGAAGACATATAAAATAGGCATTTGCTAATCGTCGAAAAGACTCTTTAGTAAAAATATTATGATATTGTATTTTGACGTAGAAATTTCATTACCCTAAGCCAATTAAAATGAGCTAGTTATTGTGTGTCTTTGAGCACTAAACAAAAGCGAGCATTAAACATGTAGTGTATTTTTTAGTTGCATTTGTCGCTGGATCATTTGCTTTCACTTTTTTTGGAATCCTCTGAAATACAATTGTCATGATAGAAAACAATTAGATTTAGGCTGCCAACCTTCAACTTTTTTCTTCGTAAAAAATTGTAATTTCGTCATTTCTTTGAGTAGAAAAAAAATATTATTTCAAGTTTTGTTCATATAAGATTGCATCAGAAACCGAGATAAAATCATCTGAAATAATACAAAGAAAGAAATACTAGTTTTATTTTTTCATCCAGCATATGGATTACATCAAACAACATAAAGAAAAAAAATCCACTACATACCAATATTGGATGAGTCATCAAGCAGCAGATGCAAGGCGCACTCAATGGAATCTGCTAGAAGGGGGTCTAGTATTCGACAATAATATCGACGAATGGATATAAATAATTTTTCGAGAATATATCGTATGCATAGACGATGAACACATTCGGTTATGATTTTTATTGCTAGTGCTTAAAAGCGGAAGTGCCGTTTTCTATTGACAATTGAATGAAGAGAAAAAATACATGTTTGAATTCATGTCTTTTTTAAATCAGATAAAAATACACACGATGAGTAATGAATACAGCACATCATGTAAAACATTAATAAATATGCAATAAAAACATGTTCATCCATGAAAAAAGCATTATCTGATGTATATTGATGTGCGACTCCAATTTTTATTTTTACAATGGATATATGTAATCTAGCTATTAGGACTAAAACGAGCACAAAGAAACATTAGTAAACTATGATTCATCCAACACAGTAGGATACGATTACTCTCTCCCTTCCGCATGGATAGATATGATACGATATGATATGATATGATATAACACGAATAGAATACAACAATGATTTGTGATGTGGTCAGCGAACGAATGACCATGCTACTTTTCATTGAACTCACACTCGAGCGACATCTGTATGTTATATATTGTGGAGTTTTCTAGTCGATATTTCATCAAATGCATCGATGAAATGTTTCGGTTTTCTCAGATATGTTTTCCAATGAGTAGATTTCGCTTGATAATAATAAATTTGAGAAAGATCTTCATACAATTTAATAAAGCGTTCTTCAAATGTTGCATTGTAATTAATTATATGAAATTCACGTTGATGAATAGAAGCTAAATCATCAATAGCAAATTTCCGATTGATTTTTTTTCGGCCACATTGATGTATTCCAGCTCTATTTTCTCCATTATCAAAAAATAAACCCCTACGAAATATAGTAAATGAAGTTTTCTAATTTTAATTGTCAATATCTTACCCTGATACTGTTTTAATCAATGGTCGATAGAGACTAAAGTTAGTTACTTTAGGTATTTCTCTAATAAACGAAGGTCGTACCATAAGAAGATCAATAATTATTTCAATATGATACGATGATAAAGGATAATGAACTTTATTCCAATCGATACGAGTACGTAATAATTTCTCGGCACCGAGAAAAACTAATGGAATTCCGTTCATATTTTCATATTCAATGGATGGATAGATTTCATTGAGAATGTATAATCTACCAATGATAGATGTATGAGAGGCTAACGATGATTCGTCATTATGCGAATTTTTCGATGTTGAAGCAGATGATGTGATTGAATGAGCTTTTCGAGATTGTAATTCATTGATTTGAGAATCATGTTGAAATTGACTATCGACAACTATTTGTTCTAAATCAACAGACGTATTCACAGTTGAGGTTGAGAATATAGAATATTCATCATTTGCTGATGATTTTAGAAATGGAGGAGTTATTAAATGCGGTGTGAATGAAATATCATCATGAAAAGCGTTTCGATGGAGCTAAAGAAAACACATTTATCTATATGAACTCTTTTGTTCGATATCGAATTTTAGATGTGTCGATTGACCTGTGATTTAGTTTGGAATAAAAGTTTATTCGAGGGTACCTTGCGCTGAATCGTTAAGATTCGTGTTGACTGTAGATTTTTTTTATTGATTAGCGAATAATTTGCTTTTTTAAATTTTGTTTCAGTCTTCAGAAACATATTCATCATAATATTTATCGTTTTGTGAATTTTGTGTTGATAATTTAAACTAGTTTACTTGTTGCCATGTTAGTTACTAGTAAATTTCTAGTGAATGAGAAAGAAATTAAAAAAATTTCATCTGATATTTTGAGAAAAACGAACTTGTTATTGATGAGTTCGCTCAGTAGAAATGATCGTAAAAACAACCGATAATAAACGAAGAGAGAAAAAAGAACTAAAATCTAGCGTCATCTATTTCATAGATAATCTATGTAATGACGAAATAAAACACGAATCAATGACGTGTTCAGCCAAACAAATAGCCAATACGATACCTGTGTCATGTCATCTCTTTTTTTCTTTTATATATAAATATATTTATATATGGTATTCCCGTAATGAATCTATTGCGAAATCAAGATTCGTCATCGATTGATGATAGAAAACCATCAAGTTTGAATGATCGCTTTAAATTTTCATTACATAGTAAATATTTTTCACGTTGCTTAACAATCTTACCATCGCACACGAGTTCATTAGACAATAGTCGGGTAACAGTCGCATTTTATAGTATAGCTGGCCTTGACATACTTCGTGCATTGCCTCTATCATTACCGTATCCAGCAACTGAATTAATATCATGGATATATAGTTTACAATCAATTACCGATTCAAATGTAAGTGGTTTTCGTGGTTCGTCATGTGCAATTTCATTACGAACAACACCCAATCCTTATGATCATACACACATTACAATGACGATGACGGCGCTGTTATCGCTTTTACTATTAGGTGACAATTTTGAAAATGTTCAACGTGATAAAATTGCGTCATCACTTGCTCGTCTACAGTTACCAACAGGTGCGTTCTTACCTACAGTTTTATCAACAGAAAGTGATTTACGTTTTGTTTATTGTGCATGTGTTGTTGCATTCATTTTAAATAATTGGTCTGGTATTAATAAAGATGCATGTACAAATTTTATTCTTCAATGTCAAACATATGAGTATGCTTTTGGACAAGTACCTGGTGCTGAAGCTCACGGTGGTTCAACATTTTGTGCTGTAGCTGCATTATCATTGATGGGTCGTTTAAAAGATTTCGAACATCAAGATGATCTTGTTCGCTGGTGTTTACAACGACAAACAGAAGGTTTCAATGGTCGACCAAGTAAAGCCGATGACTCGTGTTATTCATGGTGGATTGGTGCAACATTGAAATTATGCAAGAAAGAAAATTTAATAAATTTTGACGAAAATCAAAAATTTCTACATGCAACTGAATCACAAGAAACCGGTGGATTTAGTAAACTACCTGATTCGTCAGCTGATCCGTTGCATTCATACTTGAGTTTAGCTAGTTTATCATTGATTTATCATGAAAATTTAAAACCTATACACCCGGCTTTGATTATTTCTATGGATTCTGTTGAAAGACTTGAAACAATGCTACATGCAAAATGGAGCAGATGAAGAATGTTTTTTTTTACTTCAATTGTCTTACTCTCTTACACTTTGTTTTCTAGATCATGTTTAATTATGAATAAGAAGAATAGAACATTATGTTTTCAATCAATATTATTATTTATCCGTGATCTGATATATTCTATTGATCAAACATTAGACTATGTATATACATATATTGAATTACCAATACAGCATACATTCTCATATTTTGACAGTATCTCATATTGCTATGTTCGTCGACGGTCTTTGATTGACTTTTCAAGACCTGTCACTCAGATACTCGTTGAAAGCTATGCAATAACTTGTTTTCTCTATATTATTTTATTATTATTTGGCTATGTTTTTTCAATCGCAACACAAAGACATTATTTTATTGATCCATTTCTATCAAATAATCGACAATGTATTAATATAAAATTTGTTCGTATTATTAATAACGAGGAAAATAATGTTCAAAATAGTCGATTAAAAGAAAATTTTATTCGAGAAAATTCGATTATAAAAGATGAAAACTACCAAAGACAAATACATAATTATGCTCAATTTTATCTATTATTACATGTGATTGAAAACAATCCCTATATGATTTGTCAACGATCACTTTATATATACGCACGTTTTCATGCCTATTCTTCATTATTACATAGTAATCATTCTCAGTTTCAATTTGTTCTACCAAGTTATTTTTCATCATTTCCCATTGATCAACCACCATTTATTGATCTATGTGTTCACACTTCGAATCGTTCAGATCTTGAGGAAGTAAAATCTCGCCTTCTTCCATTAGCATCTTATTATTATGCATCTATTAATTTATTTATATTTGATTTTAATTTTACACAAGTTACTTTAACACTTTACGAATTAAATAGTCATTCCGTACATCTTGAACGTGTTTCAATTCATACGGGCTGGCTATATGATATATATTCGCAATTTCATTTTTTCAAATATAGCCATGCTCTATCGACAGTCGTATTCGACGGTTTACCAACAGGACAACATTCTATAGATTATTTTAACTATGTATATATTCCTGTGCCTGTTGATTCTTTACTTGGTTTAACAGAAATGGTTCAACGATCAATTCTAGTATTACCATTATGTTATTCGAAGTACAATACAACAAATATCTCGCAATAGAAACAATTATTTTTTTTCCGTTTGTGAAACGTAACATTTCTGTGCTAAAAGAAGTCCTTTTGACTTATAGCAAGCTCTCCAAAAATCTCAAACAAACATTAATATAGATATATGCATTTATTCTTTCTTTCTTTTTAGATCTTATTTTTACGCAATATCTAGCTACATATCTTTTGAAAATGTTGGATTTTTTCTACATTCTTACCAAAGGCGGACTTGTTCTTTGGTGTGTACCATCATCAGCTACTCAATTCATTAAAATTGTGAACAATGCTATTGACAAAGCTGTCTTACAAGTAAATAGAATTCGCTTTCTTTAGTAAATATTTTCATTTTCATAACTCATTAGGGTCAAGGTAGTACACAAAAATGGGTTACACCAACAAGTCCACATAATATTCATTACAAATTAGATAATGAATTCGAGCTTGTCTTCATCGTATGTAGAGCTATCGTTTTAATTGATTGATTTCTTTAAATGAAATTTTATTTTAGCTTGGCTATCAAAAAACATTAAATATATCGTACGCAGATAAATTTTTAAATGAAATACAAAAACGTTTTCGAGATCAATACAAAGGTGACTTAACTATAGGTAAGATTCTTTTCTCCCGTCGCGTATTCTATATCTCGCTGTTGCTTTTGTTTTGTTAGGTGGTTTTAATCGATCATTTCCTTTTCGTGTTACTTATGAAAATGTTCTTTGGGACATCGAACACGCGGAGGAGGAAGCTAAGAAAGCTCCGCGCGCACCTCGTTCCTATGAAGAGTCTGATAAAAAAAAGAAAACGGATAAGATAGTAACTAAAAAAGGTGATGTAGCTACAGACGAAAAGAAAAAGAAAAAACCAAAACAAATGGCAAAATCAAACCAACAATCGGAAACGAATGTTCAAAACGAAGAACCAATTGAAGAAGAAGTAGAAATCAACAAAGAAGAAATAAACAATAATGACGAAAATGTTACAGAAGAAACAACTGAACAATCATTGGTTAGTCAAGAAGCAAAAGATTCTGTTCCGTTAGAAGAAATACAACAGCCAACACTTTCAATTTCTGACAAATTATCGGCATTGGGTAGAAAACCAGCACCATTTTCGAAGGCTGCAGGAAAGTACGTTAAAAGAATTTTAAATGCTCTAATAATTGAAAGTTAGAATCATTTGCTTATATTCAGTAAATCTTCACCGAAGCCTCAGAAAGGTGGTTCAAAAAAACAAATGGCTCCATCTAATGATATCAAAAATGATACAAGTAATCTTGATCGTTCAAGCAAGGCAGATTTAGGAAAACTGGTGAGTACTAACAAAAATAGTTGCAAAGAAAAAAATCAACGACTATTAACTATTTGAAAATCCTTCAAACGAGAGGGTTTCCTTTACAAAATAGTACACATATTGTTGGTTTCATGAGATTGTTTTGAGTGTAAGAAAAAGGCTCGAGTAGTTCTTCAAAAGAAAATGAACCTGTATAAATCATAAATTCGATTCATTGAAGCCTCCGTAGAGTAGATTAGTTTTAGTATTAGATTGGACCTGGCGCAAAAATAGAAGCGGTGCTATTAAATTATCTGTGCGATCTATTGGTATAAATATAAGCCGAACATATATATCGAAATTTCACTAATCACATCGATTTTTATAGAATAATGGTCGACCAATTATTAATACTGCTCTATTAGCTGCTCGACCTGAACAAGGAGATTTAAAAACAATGAGCGTCGAGTATGTCTAGCGTACTTTTAAATGATTAACAAGCATACATTTTTTATTCTACTATTAAAGATCACCCAGTCTTACGTCTGGTTTAGTCGATGGTTTTTGGTCGAAATTAAAAAAGGTCAATGTCTTTGCATCGAAAACATTAACAGCTGAGGACTTACGTACAGGCGTTGAAACTATGCGTGAACATCTCATTGCTAAAAATGTTGCATCAGATGTAGCTGAAAAAATCTGCGAATCTGTTTCAACTAAATTAGCTGGGAAAACATTGGGTTCATTTGAAAGTCTCACATCAAACATTCGTCAAGCGATGCGAGATACATTGGTTATGATTTTAACACCGAAACGACGTATTGATATTCTTCGTGATGTTGTCGATGCGCAAAAAGCACGTCGTCCCTATTCTATTACATTCTGTGGAGTTAATGGTGTTGGAAAATCAACAAATTTAGCTAAAGTAAATCAATTTTGTTTTGCTTTCAATTGAGTTAAATAAAAATCACACTTTGTTTTTTTGTAGGTTGCGTATTGGCTTAGTGGAAATGATTTGCGAGTTTTAATTGCTGGTTGCGATACATTTCGTGCCGGTGCCATCGAACAATTAAAAACGCATGTTAATCATTTAAATAATATATTCAGTGAAAAAAAAATGGAAATGATTGAACTATATCAACGTGGTTACGGAAAAGATGCAGCTGGTATTGCAGCAGAAGCAATCAACTACGGTAAATAGTTTTACTAGGAAAATATGGAAGAGAAGTTACCCGAGGATTTCTTTGAACTATATGAATTATTTCTTCAGTCTCTGTTTGGCATCTACCATGAATCTATGCTTGTTGTTGGATGATTGATAGCAAACATACATACAGTGAGTTTTTAAAGAAATTAGCATAATGCCTGCAACAAGCAATCTCGAACAATGTAGGGAAAAAAATTGAATTCATTCTCCTCATACATCATGACAGTTTAGATCAGAACGGTTTGCGCAGTGTATTAGACTAGATTTCATCATGCAATAACAATTCATAGATATATTGTTATACAAACCACTACTTTAAACTTACATATCTTTGACAATTAGAATAACTCTATCATAAATTTATTTTTAGCTAAAGACAAGAAATTTGATGTTGTTTTAATTGATACTGCTGGTCGTATGCAAAATGATGAACCATTGATGATTGCTTTGGCTAAAGTAATAAGAACTTGATAGATTTTTTTATATATTTTTTCTTTTGTCTTTAGCTGATTCATGTCAATAATCCTGATTTAGTTTTATTTGTTGGTGAAGCATTAGTTGGAAATGAAGCAGTTGATCAAGTTACGAAATTTAATCAAGCGCTGGTTGATAATGCACGTTTACATAGTAATCCACGTGTTATTGATGGAATTGTTTTAACTAAATTCGATACAATTGATGATAAAGTTGGCGCAGCTATTTCAATGACTTATACAACAGACAAACCGATTGTTTTTGTTGGCATAGGACAACAATATCAAGATCTTAAAACACTCAATGCTGACGTAGTTACAGAAGCGCTTTTGAAATAAATAATCATATTAAACTTAATGCGCATGGTGGAGGAATTTTCTTTTTTCTTTTTTTCTGAGTGCCATATATATCTGCTTTATCAATATATTTTGTCATTTTTTCTTTCGTTATATTTGTTTTTGTTTTCTTTAACCATGATTATTGTTGTTTCGTTTATGTCGATTACAATGAACTACTTTTACAATTAAAAATCAAATAAACAACAAAAAATTACATTATCTCTCTCATCCGATTATCGCAAGCATATTATTAGACTTGCTACTAACGTGATAGCAGATGTTCTATAAATAATTTCTTTCTATTTTTAAAAAAAGAATTATGTGATGCATATAAAAAGAGGTGTAAGCAGACGCCTCGGTTGGCGACTGCGGCTAGAAAACTAAAACTTTTTTCACCCATTGGCGGCGGCGACGACGACTCGATAATAAATTTTTTTTTGGTTCTCCGGCGGCGGCTCAAAATCTTTAGATCCTATTTTTAAAAATTTTCGTAGTTTAGAGAATTATGTAACGCAAAAGGGAAAATGATAATATAGAACGTTTCTATTAACAGTTAGATCAGAAGAATCCAAAATACTGTTTCTGATTATCGAAAATATTCAAAAATTGAATATTTCTGCTTATATAATGGCGGCAACGGCTCGAAAATTAAACATTTTTTGGTTGATCGGCGGCGGCTCAGCCGCTCGGCTTACACCTCTAGTCACACTTTATATCGTATAAAGTGTGACTATCATGCACTATATCAATCAGCACCATCTATTGAATTATCATCTTTTAATATCAGTAAGCCAATAAGAAAAAAGATGAAGAAATTTTTCTTTTTTTTTCTTCACAGCAGTTAGGCAAACTACATTGACCAATGTATTCGGTATAATCCAAGGACGAGTGTTTTTTAAAAACGTTTATAACTATTCCAGAATAATTTCCTATTGTAGTCATTACTTTCCTATTATTCATATTTAAAAAGCAAGTACATCATCAGATTTACGCAGTAAGCATAGAATTTATGACAACAGAATATAGTCTATATATAAAATAAATTTAAATAAAAAAAGTTAATTTGTTTTAGATGTCTCGTGATCGACCCAGTCGTCATCATCGCAAGCATTCTCATTCATCCTCGTCATCGTCTTCTTCTCGTTCGCGAACACCCTCTCCTAAACGTCATCATCCATCTAGTGATAATACAGATCAACTGCTTCAAAAGCATAGTCGATTTTTTTCTCAATTACCCGATGGTCCATCAAATGCAATAAAACGAGAAAAATTCGATGCTGATCATAGTTTATGTCCACCACCAACATCATCATCATCAACACGTTCATATACAGTAGCCAATGTTGATCGACGTCAATTTGAAGCACGTCGTGAAGAACGTATACGTATAGCTGAGCTTGGTACACGTGGCATTTGGTCGAATTCACCAGTTCGAATCGACGAAGACATGGGTGGTAAAAGGGAAAAAAAGAAAAAATCGCATAAAAAGAAAGATAAAAAGAAAAAATCTAAAAAGAAACGAAAGAGACACTCATCGTCATCGTCTTCATCCTTATCATATGTAAGTGATTCAGAACCAAAATGGATTGAAACAAAATCGAAAAAATCATCATCATCATCAATATCAACAACAACCAATAATCATAATGTAAAAAAACAAGATAATAATGAAGAAGAGTTTATTGGTCCAAGATTACCTGAACATTTATCTCAGCAATCTGACTCTTCGGCAAATCCATTAGGAGCAGATCAACCATTAGATTTCGGTAAAGCCCTTTTGCCTGGTGAAGGTGAAGCTATGGCGCGATTTGTTGCCGAAGGTAAACGTATTCCACGTCGTGGTGAAATTGGTTTGCAATCGGAAGAAATTATACAATTTGAAGAACTTGGCTATGTTATGTCCGGTAGTCGACATCGTCGTATGGAAGCTGTACGTTTAAGAAAAGAAAATCAAATTTATAGTGCAGATGAAAAACGTGCATTGGCTACATTCAATTATGAAGCTCGTTCGAATAAAGAAAAAGCATTGATGACACAATTCAAAGACATTGTAGATTCGAAAACGAAAAAATAAATTTCTTTTTGTTTATTTGTCAAATAAAAGCTTCTGCATATTATGTGTAATTTAAGAAAAGGAAATCTTCTCTTTTTGTCTTTCTTCTAGATTGTGTTTGAGTTCACAATACACGATGAAATTATTTTGGTTTGTGATATTTCTAGTGCAATGTTTTATTAGTATTAATGCGAAATGGGTACGTGATGTTGATTCAAGAATTGTCGACGAAATAAAACAGAATCCGTCCGTTGCTTATTTAATTCAATTCCACGCACCATGGTCTGTTTTATTTTTATTCTGTGTCAGACACCTCATCTGAAAATGATTACTTCCACCGATGACGAGAGGCCATTTAAATCCGCCTGTGAATTAAACAGATAGAGGATTAGTTCTTTTTTCCAAAAAAGAAAAAAATACAAGGAAAATGTCAGTACGGATGAAAAGATAGAATCGGCAAGAAATTATTTATTACTATCTCTAGAAACATACATTACAATTCAATGAACTCATAGCAATGTAGATAAAGTCTAAAATTTATTATCTAAAAAACACAATTTATGAGGTAAATAAACACTTTTAAGTCGCTTTAAATTATTCTCAAGCGTCGAATGCAGTACCATAGGGACAATAGTACAATCAACTGTTAACTTAAGTATGGTTAGAATAAGATTTTTATTTTCCTATTTGTCCTTACACGCAAACATAGTTTATTGTTTACTTTCTTCATTTAATGTTAATTAGAAAAAAAATTGTTGCGAAGAAAAAGAAAAAGTTTGAGGGATCGACGAAGGATGAAAGAGAAAGTGTCACTTCCCGACCTTGAAGCGCATGTTAATCTACTTCTAGAAATGTAACATATGCCATGGTGATGAAAAATTTAAAGAATAAATTAAACAATTGAAAACAGATGAGAACTAAATGAATAAACGGAAACGTTGATAATAATTCATACGGCTGAAGTTTCTTATTTGTGCAGCTATGTAAATAAAAGTAAAAATAATCCTATAAAATTTTCCTTTGTTTCCAAAGTATAGAAAAATCCTGTATCAAATCTTAATCTGTTGTTTTGTTTAGAATTTAAAGTATCATGATTCACCTATATATATATATATATAGAATAAATTCACACCCTTTCAGAGATTAATGATCATAAATTTTAGGTGCGGGCATTGCCGAAAATTTGAACCTATCTACGAAGAAATTGCCAAAGAAGTGTACGATTTATCAACGAATATCGATGAATTTAAAAATATCCGTATTGTTCGTATTGATGCTACTGTTTATACTGATGTTGCCAATCGTTATGATGTACGTGGTTATCCAACAGTAAAATTTGTTCGTGGTCTACAAATGTTTACATATGAGAATGAACGATCAAAACAAGCTGTGCTAGACTTTTTACGACGTGTTAACGGGCCTGCTCTACGTTGGATTCCATCCATTGGAAGATTTAATGAAGTGCGTCGTGAACATGACGTCTTCTTTATGTTTGTTACTACGAGTTATGATGAAGATGATGTTTTATTTAATCAATATAAAAGCCTTGTGAATCAATTGTTAAGTCAAACTTATTTTTATGCAACAAATGTTTCAATTATTCAACAAACATATTTTTCAAAATATAAAACAGATGCTAAATCACAAATATTTGCTATAAAAACTGAAGGATTCTATTTATATGAACCAGATGAATACAATAATAATTTAGAACAATTTATAATGAAAGAAAAAATTCCTACTTTTCCACAAGTTTCGTCAGGAAATATACATGACATTATTGTAACAAAAAAAATTGTTATTATTTATGGATTTAAAGATCAAAATGAAGTAATTGCTCAAAAACAGAAAAGGTTTGATTATTTTTCTTTATTCATTAAACTATATATTGATAAGATTAAAATAAGTTGAAAATGATTTTGATCCTTGCTTTTTCTATTCGAAAAATCTATGAATACAAAGTGTCGACGAAGAAAAACAACGGTATCTTAGTTGAAATATTCGATCTTTGAATAAAAACCCATTGGCACTACTCGCAGAATTTTTAAATATTAGATTTTGTGTTCTTAGAAATACATTGCTTTTAATACGCCTTGCATTCTTTAGTTATCCTGTTATAATCTCTATGAGATACGAAAAATTTCAGAAATACTGTTTCGAACCAATATGCTCCGTGTCTCCTATTGTAAAGATTACTTTTTACTGTAAATCTATTTAGAAACGAATTAAAAACTCAAATGCGTAATTATATGATGAAGCATTTATCAACCTATCGTGATACATTCCAATTCTCATGGTCAAACGATCTTGAATTACTCAGTAATATTGGTAAAGAAAAAACAAAATTATTTCTTGTAAAATTTCGTTATCATTTATTTTCTAGCTGTATGGACACTTGATGAACCCTTAATTTTTCTCTACGATAGTGTTCTACATAAATATGGTATTTATCCATTATCATCGATGATCGATAGTAATATACAATTGGAACCAATACTTGATTATATTATAAAAAATCATACAGATATAATTCAATATTCAGGTGATACATGGTCAAAACGTTTATTTCGTCCATTTTGGGAATTATATCGCACAATAATATTAATGTTTATGGAAGCACCATTTGTATCTTTGCTTATTATTGGTATACCTGTATCGATTATATCACTTATATGTTACTGTTTATGTTGTTCGTCGAGTGACAATTCATCGAGTAAAACAAAAAATTCGAAGAAAAAAAGAAAAAACGGACAAATCGAACCAGAAGAAGACGAACAAAATAGTGGTGGCGAAGATGATGATGAAGAATATGAAGAGCGTATTGTTCAAGTTGAACCAAGATTTATTGAAAATTTTGTTAAACCAGCTGATGCACGTGATATACCAACATGGCCTATTATGACAGACGATAGTCAAAAGCCAATGATTGAAAAGAAGAAAGACTGACGTTTTTCGACATTTTTTACCAATATTTATTTGTTTGCTTTAATTCTCTAGTCAATGTTTGTTTTGTAACATATTTACATCTCATTAATTGTTTTATTAATCCTTATTTAGTATATATACATATATGTGACTGTGTGTATTTTTTGTTGTTAAAGATGAAAAAGTGGAGATTTCTACTCGGATACGCGAGTGAAACAGGTCAATCAAAATCAATTGCTCAAGGAATCGTTGATATTGCATCAGAGCAACATAAAATATGTGCAGACTTGTTTGAATTGGATGAAGTTGATAAACAAGTGAGAGACGTGACTAATTGACGGAAATGAATTCAAATTTATCACAGATCGAATTAGTTTGGATTTCCTGAAAATGTTTTGCTTCTCTTTCAAAACAAATATTATTGTTGAATTCATTTTTTTTGTGTTTTCTGTATCTATTACAGTTCAAATTAGAAGAAGAATCAGTCATGGTTATTATAACGTCGTCAACCGGTGACGGTGAACCACCAAGTAATGCAAGTAAATTTTGGCGTAAAATTCGTCGTGAAAAGAAATCTGATCTCCTTTCACATATGAAATATACTGTCTTAGGTACTGCGATTTCTTGATGGAGTCTCGTAATAAAGCAAAAACTAACTATTTCTATTCAGGATTGGGTGATACAAATTATTCAAATTTTTGTAATTGTGGTCGTGTACTTGATCGTCGTTTTGAAGAACTCGGTGCTTCTCGATTCTATCCTTCAGCATGGGCTGATGATGCCGTTGGGTAACGTTACGTTTAATGATTTAAATTTTTCTATTTAAATTTTTCTAGTTTGGATTTAACAATTGAACCTTGGCTTCAAGGTCTCTGGCCTGCATTAAAAGAAACTCTAGCAAAACTCAACACGTCCAGCGAATCATCAATCGATAATCTGTCCCAGTCTATAGATCAAATTAATTTTAATCAAGAAATTAAACCAACTGTAGAACGACAATTATCATCATGCAATAAATTAAAATCCGATGAAGATAGTATTAGTTATTCATCAAGTTTAGCTGAACTAACTACACTAACATTACCACCGAAACCTACACATTCATTGTCAGTAAAACTCATTGAATCATCTGAAGTAATTCTTATTTCGAGTAAAGAAAATAAAGCCTGCATATTATGATTGATTTTATTCGAAGGAAAGCAATCAAGTACTGGATGGATCCCAATATCATGCTGCAAAATTAACACGTCGCGAATGTTTAACACATGATGTTGCAATAAAACCTGTGATATCGATGGAATTACAACTTTCTGTAAGGAAAAAATAAAAATTTTGTAGTTTTAGGAAATTTTTCTTTTTCAGGAAGAAGAATTCTTATTCGAAGCTGGTGATGCCATTAAACTTGTTTGTGCAAATGATGAAAATGAAGTTGATCTTCTTTTAAAACGGTAATTTAAAAGTTGACTTCTATTTTGATTTTTCATTGAAAAATCTATCTATAGTTTAGAATGCTTGGATAAAGCATCTCATCGACTAGAGATTTCTATTTCACCTGATAATACAAAAAAATCAACTAAAATACCAGCATACATACCACCAATGTGTTCATTACGTTATGCTTTAACCAACTGTATTGATATTCGTTCATCGCCAAGAAAAGTAAGAAACGAATGAATAATTCTTACGATGAAAATTGAATTCATTTCATAGAATCTATTGAGATTATTTGTTGATTGTACAACTGACGACGATGAAAAACGTCGTCTTGAAGAATTATGTAGTAGAGAAGGTTCAGAAATTTATATAAAATATATTCTTGAAGAACATTTATCAATTCTTGATATTCTAAATCATTTTCCAAGTTGTAAACCAGATGTTGCAATGCTAATTGGTTCGTACAAATACTTGATTGTATTTCTTATATATTTGATTTTCTGTTTAGAATTTCTATCATCATTGATGCCTCGATTTTATTCAATCTGCAGGTTTTATATTTTTTATTCTTGATGTTTCTTTTATTAATAATTCATTTTAATTTAGTTCGCCACTCGATGATGCTCGATCTATTAAATTCGTTTATAGTGTATTCAATTTTGCTGCTTCAAATGGTCGCACCTACGAACGATTTGGTGTTTGTACGAATTGGTTAAATAAAATAGATATCGGCACAAAGGTTCATTATTTTGCTTTCAATTCATATTAAATCTATTGAATAACTACAGGTTTTAATTCAAACAAGAATTAGCCAACATTTTCGATTACCGTTAACTTTGGATACTCCACTGATTATGATTGGACCTGGAACAGGTGTAGCACCGTTTGTTGGATTTCTTGATCATTTGTATATTATTTTATTGAATTGATTTCATTAAAATAATCACGAATTCTTTATTTTTAGATATCTTTCTTCGCAATCAATTTCTGGTTTTGATGTGAATAATTTGAATACTTGGCTTTTCTATGGATGTCGTCATCGAGAGCATGATTTTCTTTTTCAGTAATATTGTGTTTTTCTTTTTACTAATTTTATATATCCTTTGACTTACTTTTAGAGAGCAACTTCAAATGTATCAACAAATCAATGTACTCAAACATTTATTTATTGCAGCATCAAGAGAAGAAGGTTATCCTGTAAGTAAACATATTTTTGACTTTGTTCATAGGAAGAGGAAAAAATTGCTTCACCATATGTTCATTATTTATATAATGAATGAGAATTTTGTTTCGTCGTTCAAACGTGTCTAGTCATTGTCAAACTTTAAGATGAGAGTGAGAGCAAATTTCGCGATGCAACAAGTTTTGTCACGTATATATTACTACCTGAGAAAGAAATATTATTCATCTTTCTTTTTGTTCAAGTTATTTTAATCGTTTGAGAAATGCTTTTGATCTCAATCGTGTTTGAATACCATAAAAAAATTAATCTTTAGAGATTATCTTGGATTATGATATATGGATAACCCGGCAATGTCCGATAGAAACTACATATGAAAAGATCCTTAGCGTTTACACGAAACTGAAAAGCTTATCGCTGAATTTGTTTTTAGTTTCGCTATGTTCAAGATCAACTCAAGATCAATGGGCAAGAATTGGCAAATTTAATATGCAATCGCAATGCGATCATATTTGTATGTGGTGATATAAAAACGATGGTTCGTGATGTACGAGAAACAATAGCCAATATACTTAGAGAACATACTGGTTTGTCCACTTTTTTCACTGAAGAAAAAAACACAAATCAATTAATTTTGTTTTTTTTTTCAAATTTTCTTTAGAAATAACAAATATTGATGAATATATGAAATCATTGGAAACATCTCGACGTTATCTCCTTGATATTTGGAGTTAATAATAATTTTTAATTGTCTTTCAGTTTCATTTTTTTTTCTTCTCGAATATACGCATTGTTACGACCTTTTCTTGTATGCAAACAAAATCTGTTGATATTTGCAAGAAATAAAAAAAAACAGACAAGACTGAAGGTACATTGACCATGAACTAGATGATAGATGAAGGAAAGATGCAAATTAAAATTTGAACAATGTGCAAAGAGATTATGCCGAATAAATCTGTCTGATATGTAAAGACCCTCAAGGCGAAGAAAACAGTTGAAAAAAAAATATTTCTTATTTTTAATATCAACTTTACATTTAACCTTGTGAGTCATGCGCTTGACATTGGTGAGAACATCTTAAATCTGGCATTGTACATCGTATAATTTATTTGTAAAACAAGTATATGCACATGCAAAATGAGCAAAAAAAGATAAAGAAATAGTGATGATGGTTTAACGTTGAAGGGTGTTTCAAACAACGCGACATTTGTCGTGCGAAAAAAAAGACAAAGAGCGTACGTTGAAATGTCGAACTACCTACATTCTTGCGGGGAATGAATTTAAATAGTGAACACAATCCTCACAAAAGTTTTATCGTCTCATTCTTAGTCGTTTTAACAATTGATAAGTATCACAATTTAGTTAGTTCACTATTCCCGGTGTTTGATCACTTAAAATAAGAACTTCATATATATAGATAAATATAAAATGAGAGTCGAATCAACTCGACTGTTAATTGTTCTTGTTTGTATTATAATAAGATTTTCAAATACTGATGCATTATCTAAGAGTAAGTTTGTATTATTTTGTTGTTTGTTCAATAGCAATATATACATATATATATATATATATATATTCTTCAATATCTATGTAAGGACAACAATGCCGTGATTTTGCTGGTGATCGCTCAAATTGTCAACGATTTATTCGTTGTTTTCACAATTTAAGAGTTTTATTCACATGTGCATCTGGTACAGCTTATGTACCGGAATTACAAACATGTGTTGCCAAAGAATTAGTCACTGATTGTAATGATCCAGAGAAGCGAGTTGGCAAGTTTTTTCCTAGTGATTTAAAAGAATTATCAGAAAAGAAAAATAACAATTATTTTATTTAATAGAAGTAACAGCAAGTTCAAATGGGACGTCAGATGACAATGATGATTATCCAACAATTGAAGCTGATTTAGATTCACTTGAAGCACCTATGCAAAAATCTCTTTCATCCAATGTCGGCATTTCGGTTGCATCAAGACGATTCGGTTGTTCATCATACTGTTATAATGATGGAGTTTGTGTTCTTGTGGGACAATCAATTACTTGTCGTTGTCAATCTGGTTATATTGGCGTTCGATGTCAAATAGAACGTAAGACTTGGAGATAAAAAAAGCTATTAAAAAAAGAGTTTATTTAAATGCTATCTTTTTGAAAAGAATCTGTTATCAACATAAGGCAACCATGTGGTTTACCATGCGTGAATGGTAATTGTGTAGTAGACACTGATACTCTTATTCAATTTTGCAATTGTTCAGCTGGCTTCACTGGAGATCTCTGTGATGTACGAGGTAGTATCCTTATTCAAGTATCAAACGCGCAACATTATCTATAAACTTCTCTAAAAATTTTAGACACCACACCAGTACCAGTAACTAACACAACCGCCATAAGTAACGGAACTATACTTGGTTCACCATGTCCAACAAACCCTTGTGCAAACGGAGGATTATGTTTTACTGTACCTGGTGGTGGTTTCCGTTGTCTGTGTGCTCCTGGTTATGTAGGCATCTTATGTGCAGAGTTAGGTAATTCATCATAAAGAATAACATGCAATTATCTCTTATATTACTCATTGCCTTTTCTATTACCAATTTAAAGCTGGCGCAGGAGCAGGCGCAGGCGCAGGAGCAGGCTGTGCTAGTGGAAACAATTGTCAAACAAGTACAGGTAATAAAAAATTCAATTAAAATAATGTAGTTCACATTATTATTGCCGAATGCAATGATTCGTTATCTGTTTAAAATATTTTTCTTTGTATATTAAAGTTCCTTCAAGACGAACTGAATGTCTGCCAAATCCTTGGTAAGCAATTATTCATTGAATTATTGTAAATGCATGTATGCATAAATCTATTTTTCATACAGTCAAAATGGTGGTATCTGCTATCTTACTGCAACAACATTCGGTTGTGCATGCACATCTGGTTATAGTGGAACATGTTGTGAAATAAATTTGGCTATTAGCAATCCTTGCTTGACTAATCCATGTATAAATGGTGGAGTATGCCAAATAGTCGCTGTTAATACGTATCGATGCGTATGTCCAAGTGGTTTGATCGGTGTTCGATGTGAACGACGTATATGTGATCCAAATCCATGTTTATACGGTGGTGTATGCTTACCGTATGGAGACAGCTTTCAATGCCAATGTCCACTACAATATACTGGAGCTTCTTGCGAACTTTTACTTGCAGTAACAGCAGCACCTAATCCATGTAGTTCTCTACCATGTCTTAACGGGGGCACTTGTTCGCCAACCGGTGCTACAAGTAAATTTTTATACAATACTATGACTTCATTGTTTTAAATTTGCTTGATTCGCTTTTTGCAGCTTTTGTTTGTACATGTTCACCAAGTTATTATGGTCGCTGTTGTGAAGTACGTAATTTTTGTCAACCAAGTCCATGGTACGGAAGATTTTGCAATAAAAATCCTACATATGTTTGTTTCTTTTGAACAATTATTCATTTAGTTATAATGGTGGTTCATGTATTGCTACAACAAATGCTTATATATGTCAATGTATATATCCTTACACTGGTAGTAATTGTGAATCGGCGATACCTACTGTAGCTTCTCAACCTATGTGTGCTTGTATATTATGTCCATGTCCAACGCCAGCTCCTGTAGCAACTAATCCATGTTCGTATTGAATTTCATCTTATAATTAACAATTGTGATCGATTTCCTTTTCTAGGCCTTCCAAATCCATGTCAAAATAGCGGAGGCTGTAGTGCTGTTCAAAATACTCCTCAATGCCATTGTCAACCAGCTTATAGTGGTTACTTTTGTGAATACCGTGAGTTATAGATATATGTTATAATTTTACTTCTATTTTATAACCACTGTAAACAACATTAGGTCGTAAACGATCCCTTAGTACTTCATATTGTGCCAATGTAACATGTTTGAACGGTGGAAAATGTTTTGAAGATGAACGCGGACCTCAATGCGGGTGTCCACAGCCATACTTTGGTGAACGTTGTGAATTTAGTAAATTAATGTTCTTTTCTCACTGTTATTGGTAATTATGTTTTTTTTGTGTTTTTACAAAAATTTAGTTAATCGACCTCGTACATGTAATCCAAATCCATGTAATGCAGATGGCCAATGTATATCAACAAGAGATGGTTATAAATGCTTATGTAGAAATGGTCGAACTGGTATACTTTGTGAACAAATGGTAATGGCAAAAAATTACCGTTGGTGTCCATTGGATTGTCAATCAGGTACAACTTGTGTTTATGAAGAAACTTCTCCGAAATGTCTTGCATTATAAGTATGTGTAGTTATTTTTAATTTAAATATTGAAGTCAAATGAAATTTTCTCTTTCTAGAAGTGCTCGTTAATTTGTCGTTTGATCGAAGATTACACAAGTTTTGTGTGTTATTTGTTTGTTTTTATTTATATATGATCTAGAGTTATAGTTTTTATTGTTTTTTTTTCTTTCTTCTGAATTATCTTCTTATATAATAATCGAGACATCTTTTTATTTAGCAAGTAGAGTTTGTTTAGATATCTTTTTTTGGCTCTCTAATATGATACATATATTATATCTCGTTTTGTTTGTTTTCTGCTATGCATATATATGTATGTCGATCTTTTACCGCATGAAGTATTTTTAAATATACTTGTATAGAAATTAAATCAATGGGAAAAAATTTACCATAGAAAATGAATAACAATGAAAAATATTGTGGCTTCTTGATGTTTTATTATATAATTCGATGGTGCACTAGAATATTTTGTTTGAGACGTAGTAATCGTTATTATAGAAGATGTTGTTTTAGCGATTGTACTACTGGTTTTTGATGTTGTCGAAATAGTAGTTATCAATGATGATCTTGTCATATGAGTGTTGGTTGAAGATTCTATAGTAATATCATTAGTAATTATTGATGGTGGCGCAGTAGTAATCGTAACTGTTGTTTTAAGACTAGTTGAAGTGCTATTATCCAATGAAGTAAACGAAGATAAAAATGTTTGATTTAATATATTTATTGCTAATTCAGATGTGTAGGATAAGAGTGATGATAAAATCAAACTTCTGTTTTCTTGATCAGATAAGGCAACAATGGTCGATTAGACATTGTATTGATTGATGATCATGTAAAAGACTATAAATGTTAACTTTATAGAAATTGATTCTGATTTCAGAAGAAAGTAAATCAAAGTATTTATGAATATAGCGAAGAATTTTGCTGACATTTGAATCATTTTCTTGATTGAGTATGATATGTTAATACTTAAAAAACATCGACGACAACTTCTTTTATAGTTGTAATTATGTAATCATAGGCTTTTCTGTTCGTTTTGTTAATTATGATAAAATATCAATTTTTAATATTATATAAAAGCATTTTTTTCGCGTTAGATACCCCATCACAGAGAAAAACAATAGAATATAATAGTTTGTGAAATGAATTCATGATATACCAACGTAAAGGAGCATGAAATCATACATTTTAAGTCCGGTAACAGGTTAACGTAGGCCTGGATGGAAATGATCGTATTTAAAAAAACATTATTTAGTCATATCGATAAAATGATTATTCGATTATCTTTAAAAATAGTTTATATGCAAAGGTTTTCATTCTATATACATGTGATATTGAAATTCCACTTAAACTCAAGCAGTTAGAAGTACAATCGAAATAATCTCATCATCAGTGTACAAAGTTAGATTACTCATGTAGAAATTAATTAGAAATCATGCTCAAATGCACATCTATTATGTTTCGCCGGGTCGTCGTTCGAAAATAAAATTTCTATTTTTGCCTAATATAGAAAATATTCGATACATTAGATATATGATTTATTCAATGGCCATTTGGAGAATTTTTCACTTAATGAATAGTATATATTGCATTGTATCATAAACATAGTCCATAAGGAATTTCTTTTTTTCCTTCTGCCTATAAAATTCAAAGATAAATTACTTTCATTGTTAAAATAATCCCTTGTGATTGACATTGATCGATTTCAAAGTAAAAACAACAGCAATGAGCTTTTTTCTCTTTTTGTAGTAGTGATGTAATATCAATGGAATTTGCTTTTCAAAATATATCAACCAAATTTAAAGATACAATTTAGACCGAATAACTAGTTTTTTCTGCTTCTTCTTCTTGTATTGGTTGAAGATTCTTATGAATACAATATGTGACATGAAAACTCTATTTTTTGTTGATATGATTCCGCTAATGGAATTGTTCCCATGGACTCTATGAACAATTCAAAGCGAAGACAAATTAAGTTGATGTTATTATGTTTTTCGATTGTAGATGATGAAATTTCCGTTACTTTCATGGCATTTCTTCGAGTCGAGTACAGTTTTTTTTTTTTTGACATTTTTTCATGTCTGGATAATAAATTTGATAGTGCACGTTCATTCAATATTCATTAATTATGTTAAAAAAAATATCAGTAATATTAAGCATATTCGAATAGATGAATAATTCATTTAATAAGAAGAATTAAATTATCATATAACCATCATATCGTCAGACATGAGTTGCTTTAGAAAAGAAGAACATCCATAGAAGAAAACATCAAAGAAAGATTTATTTATTGAATTCTTCTCTAAGTGTCAATGAAGACGACTAAAAGAAAATTTTTCGTAAAAATAATTGGATTAATTCAAATAGACAAGTGTCAATCAAGTTTTATCGGTTCTTGGCAGTTTTTGACTCTCTGTAAATTGACTTGCTGCTATTTATTAGTTTTTATTGTAGACATCTGATGAGTGATAATTTTTATTTAAAAGCCAAGAAAATAAAACTTAGTTGGATATTCGAAATTCTTCGTTATTTTTTTTTGTTTTTGTTATTCAGACCCGGGTGCATAAAGAAACCGAAAAATGTTCGGTAGTGGTTTCTTTCTGCATGATGAACGCGAGAAATTCTTTCTCTCTATCTATCTTTTTGTTTCTATGATTCGTCTGAAGTTCTATGTTCCTCTTAAAATATACACCCATGTCGATAAGTCAACTGGAAATATCGTGACGCTCATGCCTAGAACGTCAAATTGACGAACCGTAATATTTTTAATTATTCTTCAAGCAAAAACTAATAGAATGGAATGCGTAATCGTTTATATTCGCATTCCTTGATTTGTGTTGGCTATATTGATTATTACTTTTTCTCTATTCTTTGTCGTTGGACTTCAGTCGACATAAAATACATTTGTACTTTCTAGAAATATCATTAATAAATATATGCCTTCTATTAAGCACGCTAGATTGGAGCTTGTTTTATGTAAAGGATAAATATAGTTTCTATTTTGGTTGCTCTTTGCTTGTACTATCTGGCATATATACAATTCAACACAACGAATCCTATGATCCAAAAGAATAAAAAGCAAACACAAGTAATGATTATGGAAGGAGGGGAAGTGCTCTGGTCTATTCTATATGGCTAGAGCATCGACATGAGATTTACCCGAATGGAAAAATCAAGAAGAAGAAGAAAAAATATAGGGTGGAGAAATAAGAAGACGACGACCGACAAATAACTACGGCAACATCATCAGATAAGAAGCAGAATAGAATAAAACAGAGCGGAATAGAACAACTATCGTAATTAGTACCGCCGTTACGCGACCAGGAGAAACACATAGACGCACATGCGTGAAGACAGAGATAGTGCTATCAAAGATGCGCAAGCTGCCTGATGATGATGATGATGATGATGAGAGAGAGAGAGAAAGAGTATTTCATATGGTTGTATTGATTTGCCGTCTTTCCTCTATGTAGTAAAGAAGACGATGACGCGGCCGTAACTGTTCGACAACACTTCTTGTTTATCAGAACGCTACAACATTGGTACTACTTCTTTCTCTTGGTGAACTCTATTATCTATAACGGAGCAATAGTATTAGCAAACACAGTAGTGTTACAGAAAGAGGAAATAGAAAGATATAGACATAGAGTGCTCCGATCTTGTTTTTCTTTTTGGTAAGTATATATGTATTTACTTTCTTGCTATTATTAGAGTTTCTAGAACAAGCTATCATTTTACTTTTTGATGCTTATGAAAGAAAACCGTAAAAGTTATTAATTAAAAACCAAATTAAAATATAGACAATCTATGTGAGTACACTCGAAAGAATCCATTCATTGGATGAATACTAATCTCGAGTAAGTTCTGATCTTATCGAAGAAAAATAAGCACTATGTTATGAGCATTAGACATTGACAAAGAACAAGAGGCACATTTTTTTCTCCATAAAAATAATTGTGAATATTAATAAATCCGCCAATGCAACTATTTTTTACATGACACATTAAAAGTTCTACGCATGACTATCCAACATAATATTTCATGAAAATTCAATCAAATATTGTCTTGATAGAAAAAAAAACACATTGATGCGAGCGTAATAAATGATAGGCAAGTACGTGTTGTCTTCAAGGAAATCTCAGGATTCGTTTGTTTTAGCTACAATCGTTTTCTTCTTGTATGTCAATATGATTTTTCTTTGCTTTTAGTTCTTCGATAAGTACGACAGACGCACTTAATCAAATCTAATGAACATTGTGATAGAATATTATTGGAAATATCGTCGTAGAAAAAGAGAAGAAAACTAATATTTTAGCTCAATAAATAAAAAAGACAACACAAATGACAGTACAAATGCGTCGTCGATGCCGTCGTTATTGTTTAGGCCGCGCCGCTATTTATCTTCTGATATTATTTGCCACAAGTTCAACTGTTATATGTTCATATCATTTTTATATAAGCGTTTTCTCTGAACAACTAAATGAAAGATCTCAAATATTTATTATCGACGAAAAAGATCTTGAAGATGCACGAATAAAACCAACTAAAAACATCAAATTACTGCATGAAGATTATTTTAATACAACGAATCTTGCGTGTCCATATCCGAAATTAACCATTGATAATTCAGAAATATGGAAATATTTAGATCCAGTAAAAAAATCACAGCCCGATTGTGAAAAATCAACAAATTGGGTTTATATTGATAATGGTTTGTTGAATGAATCATAACCTATATGAAAATGATCGGCTATTTTCTTTTAGGTACTTTTCGATTATCTGCACAAGCTCTACAAAAACATGGACCAATTGTATGTGCCTATCGTCCTATTCTCCGTTCGAAAGATGATTTTTCTACTATGGAAGGTGCTCGTTTGTTTCCTGTGTTTGATAAAATGCCTCTAGTATCAGATTTTTTTCGTGCCGATTGTCGAGCACGCGATGGAAGTTTCTATTCGAATATACACTCAGGCATTATGTTTGATGCTGGTTTACATATGAGGTAGTTTTTTTTTCTTTTTTTTTTATTAAATATTAATCATTAGAAATATTTTTCTTAGACATATATGGAATCCTATGGTGAAAAATCATATCGGTTATAATGTTTTAATGTTTGGCTTTGATTCTGTGTCGCGAATGACATTTATGCGTTTTTTACCAAAAACGTTTTCTTATTTTATTAAAGAACTAGGCGGAGTCATTTTAAAAGGTATAAAATTCAAAAACCAATATAGGAAGATTAATAAATAATTGAACATTTCTAGGTTATAATATTGTTGGCGATGGTACACCAGCAGCACTTCTACCAATTTTAACGGGTCAAACAGAACAAGAATTACCCGAAGCTCGACGTGGACATGAAGGTGCAGAAACAGTTGATCGATTTCCTTGGATTTGGAAGAAATTTAAAGGTGATTACTTATTTCAAGTTTAATACATCGATTTCATGAGAAAGAAGAAATTCTTCACTTTTAAAATTCATTCATCATAATACATGAGAACATAGAGTATTCTAAATTCTTTTCTCTAGACAATGGTTACATAACACAATGGGCTGAAGATTTACAAGCTGTTGGTACATTTCAAATGCGTTTAAAAGGTTTTAATGAACCGCCTGTTGACCATTATGGTCGTCCATTTTATCTCGTTGCTGAATCGATGCGTACATCTAAACCCTATTGTTTTGGTTCTATAACAAGATTTCAAGCGATGTTGAATTGGATACGCGATCTATTTCAAATGTATCCGGGTCAACCAAAATTTTCCTTTGTTTTTCATGCTCAATATTCTCATGATTCAAATAACGCATTACCCTATGCTGATGATGAATTAGTTGAATTTTTAAAATTAATGAATGAACGTGGCTATTTTGATAATACAATGTTTATTTTAATGACTGATCATGGTGCTCGATTTTCATCATTGCGAAACACGTATCAAGGTAAATTAGAAGAACGTTTACCGTTTGTTTCAATGCGTATGCCAAAACAATTTCAAGAAAAATATCCACATTTAATGCATAATTTACGTTTAAACTCTCATCGTTTAACAACGCCATTTGATTTACATGAAACATTTCAACATTTATTTGAATTTCATTCGCCCGATGCATATCAATCGAAAACCAATCGTTCCTATAGTCTCTTTCAATTAATACCTGAAAACCGTACTTGCTTACAAGCTGATGTCGAACAACACTGGTGTTCTTGTTTAGATTGGAATAATATATCGATTCATGAACCAATTATAAAAGAATTCGGACAACAAGCTATTAAATTTCTCAATTATTTTTTATCCGATGCAAAAAATCAATGTGCTAAATTAAATCTACACCGTATACATAGAGCCAATCAATTGAAAACAAATGAAAATTTATTAAAATTTATTGATTCAAGTGATAAAGATGGCCGTGTACCTCGTTTTCGAAATAATTCATTAGCAAATAGTTTATTTAAAAATCTAACATTAAATCAAACAAAATATTACCAAATACAATTCGAAACTATTCCTGGTCATGCTCTATTTGAATTAACTGCCGAATATAATCCATTAAGTGATAAATTTCTAATACGTAAAAAACGTTTAAGCCGAATGAATAAATATGGAAAAACATCAGCTTGTATTGCACATAAGCGCCCTGAATTTCGCGAAATTTGTTATTGTTCAAATTTGTTGAATAACACACGCAAATTTGACACTGTTCTTGTTGATGCTGTGATAAAAAATGAAAAAAAAATAATAAAAAAAAAAAAAACTGGTGCAAATAGCAGCAGTCTTCATCGTTAATATTAAAAATAATATATTCTTTTCATTTTTTAATGCAGATTTTTAGATTACATGAGAGCACGCAAAGCTTCACGATTATGAATATAATTCCAGCAGTATTCATATTGTTTTTTCAATATCCTGTTCCTGTTGTTAATTGCTTCTATTGTACTCTATGTCAACTAGTTGTGAAATAGAGGTGAAGATTTTTCCTGACCTAATATACATAGTATCAGTTTATAGAATTCTGTTTGAAAACTATTCATCAGACAAGAGTGATCATTGAGAGAATAATAGAGTTTCCTATCTTAATTATATGTCGGTATTTTGTTTTGATTTTTATAAATGCAACATTCCGTCTGGTTTCTCTGTGAGCAATGAATGAAGCAATTGTCGTGACACAAAAGAAAATTAGTTCTTGTAGAATGAATAGGATCTAAAAGCAATCTTGCCATGTGTTTGTTTTTAATTCAACCCAAAGGATAATTTTTAGAAACAGAAACTCACCAATGTCTTTTTAACAGGAACTTGTCAGGCACAAGTGGCTATCAATTAATCATAAGTATAATATGATGGTCGTTTACAGTAAAGAGAGTACAATGGACTATTTAATCATAATGGTTCAGAATAAACGAACCATATGTCTTCAATCGTCCGCATTAATTGAATTATTGGATATAGGTTTTGATTAACCAATCAAAATCGCATGTGATATACAGTTGGTAGATGATGAATATTGTAATGCATTGCTTTTAATGAAAAAAAATTAGGGGCGTAACCAGATGGGGGGTCTCAGCCCCCCTAGAAAAAATAAAACCCTGTGGAAAAATAAGTTTAGTCCTCCCCCCCCCCCAAATTACTAATATAAGCATCACAACTATCTTAAAATGATTCATATTAATCGATATTGATTATCTCAAGCACTAATTGAACCGTTATCTTTTCTTATACAAAGTCAATTAAATAATGATTTTATTGAAATTTCAAGACCAAATTTTGCAATCATATGTGGAAAAAACCTATCAATCATTGATTTGATTTGTCATTAATATAGTTTTTTTTTCAGTAATTCTGAGTTGTTAAGTCCTGCTTTATTTGAATACATGCAATGATGAAAGTAGATGTTGACTTGATTAAATTTTATAATTATTTTTCCCGTAACAATAACATACTTTTGTTGACTATGTTGTTTAGACATCATACGTATTTTATGTGAGCAAGATACTAAAAGTACCGTCAAACACTACGTTGTGTTTTGATGATATTTAGTCTTTCCAGGTTGTTGAAGTATCCGAGGCGAATATCATCCATATGAAGCAAGTACACATTTCAATTTTCCTAAAATTCTCTTGAAAAATCAATCGAATGCAATTATAATGTGAGACAGAGAGAGCCAATGAAAACTTCTTTTTTCAGGAACATATTTTTTCTTATATCGAATTACTACTAATTATCAATTACCACGCATTATATATGAAAGTTAAGAGCTATTATTGAGAAAAATATATTCAATCGATCAATCAATTCGGCTACTAAGCAAATCATGGCTGTGCTAAGATGTATATATTTTTATGTAGCGATGCTTTTTCAGATTCTGCATGGTTCAGATACTTGATACATCCATAAAAACGAAGCAGTTTTTATAAAAGTTCATCTATATATTTTGAAAATAGCAGTGTTTGAATGAAGCAAGTTGAAAAAAGTATTTTCATTTTCTTTTACTTATATCCACAAGGTTTTTTCTTGTTATCTTATCTAATCAAAGTTTTAACATTTATTTATTCACTAAAAGAATCTTTTATTCAATACTTTATATTTCTGAATAAAACAAAGCATCAGCATTATATGATAAACCTTTCGTGTGATTTAAATGAAACTAAACGTTTTTATTTACGAAAGACTTCGTCTAGCAGAGCTGGACAACTAGAAATAAACGGTTCAAAATAGCAATGAACAAATTTCATTGTTAATGATTTATATGTGATATGGATAGAAATTGTTTTTTCATTTCATCATCGAACGGTTGAGGACGATGATTTATTCGATCAACAAAAACATGAGTGAAACCACCAACAACTGAAGCCTGTTCTGATCGACGATTTTCGAATATGCCAACACAGTAATCGACAGATGATTTCCCTATTCGTTTCACAAATAATCCAGCTGCAATTTTCGATGGATAAGAAATAGGAGAATAATAATTACAATGAGACGAAACAATAAAACTTAATAATGGAGATTTCAACGGATCAAGTGAACATTTCTCAATTAAATACATATCGACAATTGAGTCGATCCATTCACCATAAACAGCATTATTGACATGGCCATAAACATCGTTGTCACGCCATCTAATGACTATGCATTTCATATTTTATCATATTGAATAGAAATAATCTTACCGTGTTTGAAAATCGACAAAATATTTGTATAACGATCGATCACGAAAGTCAGATTTAGTTGTACTACTTTTCTGTCNTGAGAAGAAACAACAAAACCTATCAACGGAGATTTCAATGGTTCAAGTGAACATTTTTCAATTAAATATTTATTGACAATTGAGTCGATCCATTCACCATAAACAGCATTATTGACATGGCTATAAACATCATTGTCACGCCATCTAATGACTATGCATTTCATATTTTATCATATTGAATAGAAATAATCCTACCGTGTTTGAAAATCGACAAAATATTTGTATAACGATCGATCACGAAAGTCAGATTTAGTTGTACTACTTTTCTGTCGTTTAAATAACGGATAATATGCACGAGCTATTCGACACGATAGCAGCGTTCTGAATGCGATTCTGAAAGACAATGCTTCCATACGCTTTGTTTAATTTAGCACAGTGTAAGTGTGCACTTTCCTTCCGCCAACAAAGACTAAGTATCAAATGTTTACTGTTATATCTGATCAAAAATATAAAACAAATTAATGGCAGCAAATAAACAAGCAATATATACAATATTATTTCTTAATAAGTTCATGTTCACCAAAGCGCAGTGTAGTGAATTCCGATTTCAACATTGTGTCGATGATTCATGCATATGTGTGTGCTCTTAGTCTAATGCATAAAAGTGCTATTATTTCGTTCACGAACGACGTCACTTTAGGTTTACTCGGATGTTCATACATTTATCATAAGTTATGCTCATCCCCGTCGTTTGCTCTTGAAATAAAGTTCGAAATCTTTGGTTTTTGACGGTCTATGATCTACATGTCGTTTATGGAGCATGATAGACATTTATAAATTGATTTGAGAGTTGTTAATCAAAAGTAATAAATCATTATTTGACCTTACTTTTCTAATTTCCTTTGTAGGTCTTAAAAATATTCATGGGTGAGTGGTTTTCATGATTCAATCTATTAAGAGTTAATGTAATCAATCGAGTTTTGACTTTTTTTTCCATGTAGAACTCGTATTGATATTTAAGCAAGAAAAGGGCTACGTATACCTCATGTTTCTAAAGGATTTACATATTTTTGAGACGGTTACGAGAATCTATAAATTATGGTGATAAGTCAAAGCACACACACGCTATGCATACTGAGGAACCGTACGGGATTGATCTGAAAAGCCCCAATTAATTTCAAAGGATAAGTTCAGGTAGCTGTTCAATTGTCACTAGTTGTCAGTGTCTTTCGTGCAATACGCAAACGAGTATTTGTGTTTCACTTTTTACGTAAATACTAGTGTTAGCCAATCAAGTATTGTAGTAAAATTTATTTATTTTATTATCTCGAATGAGAAATGATAACCTAGGTGATCGTTCGTAGATGTCGTTCTGTCGAATAAAAACACGTAAAATGGATTTGAGTCTCGCATAGAAAGTTGAAAGAAATGTATTCATAATAGGTACTTTTAATAGACAAAGTTGTCTCTCATATAAATCTTTTCTAGCAACTGCTACTAAATACCTTATCACAGTTTCATTATAGAGCATACTTCTGATTTTATTGAAATATTCTGTTCTTCTTTTTAACAAAAAATCAGTGTTCTATGAACACAAGAAAATGAATGCATTCTTGTATAACTAATCTATCACTTTGAATGCCATGATTTGCTCTTCGCCAAGTGCTTTGAGGACGGTAACTTTTATCTGACCGTTATCTTCCTTGTACTTGTCGCGTAATCGGCGGGCTGTATTCGAATCTTGAATTGATAGATCACTACGTATTTGGCATGTATCCTCGTCAAGTAAAGTAGCGTAACCATCATTAGCGATACTAACGAGAAGATAATCCTTTTTACCAACTTTTGGTACTTGAATGATATGCCCGACAGGACGAACATCTTCATGACGACGACCTGTAAATATATCAATACCGACCAAATGAACCTGAATAAAAATAAAAGAATAATTAGAAAAACGGAAAAAAAACAAATTCCTTAACAAACCTTTGAATGACCATGTTTTCCTGGTTTCGAATGTGTTATTTCAACCACCTTGAAAGGACGCCCGTTGAGCACGACAAAATCTGACTTTTTAACAGAACCAATGTCTGCCGGGCTGGTAGTCATACCAGCATCAACGGAGTCGTAAGACGAGGCGATAGGCTCGGCAAAATTAAAATCAACTGACGTCATGTCTAAGACAAGAAACGTAAAAGTAACCAATAAACTTTCAATTCAGCAATAATTCACTTGTTAACAATCTCTCCCCTTTATATAGCTGTTAATAAAGAGTTGCATAGACGTTGAGTAATTTCAAGTTTTGCATAATTACATGAAAAAATGCTGCGCAGTTTTCTTTTGTATTTAGTATCATGTGATTGTGAATAATTTCGAAATTACATGAATAATGGAAAGGATGCATACAAAATCGATGTGTTGACAAAAGTAAACGCGTATGAATCAGACATTGATGCTTATCAAACGATATATTCGTCCAGAAATGGAACAAGTTTGATTTTATTTTTTGCGAGCCAATCACCAATTACTTTTTCGATCGCTGATCTATATATCACAATAGAAAACAACATACGATTGAAGTGTTTAGTTTAATCAACGCGCTGTTTCGATCTGCTAATGTAGTGGTATATTTATATTGTTTATCAAATATAGTATACATCTTCTATGAACGGGCTGCTTTCTATTTTTTTTCTGTCAAAAATAACTACATGTAATCAAAGAATAGAAGCAACGTTTTTAGCAAATATAAGTGCCTACGCTGCCTCCATTTAACGATGTGTCATAAATTTTGCCATGACATTGTATTTGAAATGTTTGCTTGCCAGAATTATTCTCGTTGACAACTATCAATACTTTTCTTTTATCATCTTGTCTTTGAAATGCAACATTTGCAAGACTTATTGGACTATTAGATGCGACTCTTGCTGAATTAGGACGAACAAATTTAGCTGCATGTGCAATGACGTAATAGGCTGGATTTCGTGGTGATAAAACTTGATTTCCGTCAATTGTTAATGCACCTAAACATAGAGTACATCCACCAGGTGTATGCGGCTCTAATTTTGAGTCAGCTGCTAAATTCCATTCCAACACAGTTCGAGCCCAATTTCGAGTTGCACCAACAATAAGATGTTTTACATGCCAAACTAAATCACCTTTCAAATTTCCTGGTGCACCTACCCATTGTTCAGTAAAGTATAAATTTTTATCTGGATATTGATCATGCACAGCAGATAGAGCGTCAATATTTCCCCCATACAAATGAAACGCTGATCCATCAACATATTGTCTCGCATCAGCATCTCTGTATATCTCTATTGGATAATCTGGGCGATCAGCATTATGATCGTAGACGATAATTTTTGTATTAATTGAATGTTTTCGAAATGCTGGACCTAAACTTTGTTTAATAAAATCTGCTTGAAAAATTGCTAACATTAATAATGATGGATTATTTCCTGGATGTAATGGTTCATTTTGAATTGTAATAGCATCAATCGTAATACCTTCTTTCTGCATTTCTTGAATATAACGAACAAAATAGAGTGCATAGGAATCATAGAATTCAGTTAATAGACTTCCTCCAACACTATTCTTATTCGTTTTCATCCATATTGGTGGCGACCATGGTGATCCCATGAGTTTTATACTTGGATTAATAGCTAAAATTTCTTTTAAAATAGGAATAAGATGTAATCGATCATGCCCTAAATCAAAGTGGGTCATATTCTGATCAGTCTGGCCTGGTGGTAAATCATTATATGAAAAAACGATTTCATCTAGATCCGATGCGCCAATACTCAAACGAAGATAACTGACACCGATGTGATTCTGATCTGTATTAAATAATTCTCGTAGAATTTGAGCACGTGTTGTACTATCAAGGTTATTCAAATGCATTGCACTACCTCCAGTTAGTGTATAACCAAAACCATCAATAGTTTGATATATTTCATTTTCATTGATATTTATTATTGAACCAGCGATATGATTATCACTATTAGGCGAAATGAATGGTTGTTGTTGAAATAGAATTTTCGCATCAGGATCTGTTAACCAAAATTCCATTTGTTGAGCATTTGAAACAGCATTAGCGATGAAGATAAATACTAAATGTAATAGCATCATCTTACTTTTCAGTGCGATAAAAACATGAATCTGTTTTATTCTGATTGATATTTATAGTCGATTGACAGTAATAGTATTTACTTTAGATTACTGCAGATTTTCTTATTTTACATTAACCTTTTATGAATCCTTACGATGGATTTTTTCTCCTAGATATTGACTGGAGCTTGATATCTTTATTAGTTTTTCGATAATGAAATATGATCTGTTCTACCGAATGATTAAAACGGCGATACAATTTTAAAAAAAACAAGTAGTACTTTTATCAAAATTTTGCCTGAAAAAGTCTCCATGAGAAAATGTGAACGATTCACTTCAGAAATATGAATGCAATTTTTACAAACTTTGAACAGTAAATATTTCACGAAATTCAAGTTTATTTCATCATATACTGTGAAGCGATAAAATCTAAGATAGTTTCGAACCAATTCATACTTAACTTGACGGAAGCCATTCTTATAAAAACATAGCTATTTTCTTTGAATTGACTCTTGTATCTGAATTTTCAATAGACATTGTCTTCTCGGAATCAGATAGCTGCTGTTTATGCGCTTGCTTTTATATGTAACTAATAATGAATCGAACCATGTGTTTGATATCTAACGAAAACAAGCGAATAGATAACTAAAACAACCAGCATTTCAGTATTATCTACTATATCTTGTCAATAGCTTGAGTCACCTGGCCAAATGTTGGTTTCTCTTTTTCATCTCCATACATTTAAACTCATACGAAAGAAACCAAAATACTTTCGACGCTCTTTAAAATAAAACATTTCTCAACAATAATCTTTTTCCTATCTCTATTAAAAAAATCAATCGATTATTTAACAAGATTACACTTAATACTATCGAATTGTTACATATTTGTGTGAAGTATGACTGTTCATATTGCTTCATCGTTCTCTTTTTGTCAAAATGTAGCAAACGAGAATGAAGAGGAATGTCAAGAGGAACAATATTTCGTAAGACAATCACTTCATTCATTTCTATCGTAGTAGAACGTCCATCTTTTCTAATAGCTCTGTCCGCATTGCAACTTATGGCTTTGTATTCCACACAATCTTGAACATCAACAAATTATACAGACGAGTGCTCATGAATTTAATGATCGTGTCAACCAAGTACGCCAGCAATTGACTGACATATCTATTGATTACATTTATGAAGATTGTAACAAGAAAATTGACGACTGGCGAGACCAAATGCTGGCAGAAATCAAAAATAGACATTCTGAAATGTTTCAGCATTTGAATAAATTATATAATGAACTCACGGAAGAAATTAAAGAATTTAAAGAGAAAAAAATTGAATTATTTACACACGAATTTATTGAACCACTGGCTCATATGCTTACGAAACAAAAACAAGTTCATCCGGAAAAATTGAAAGCATTGGTAGCACAATTGAAATCACTCGAAGAAAAAATTGAACTTATTAAAATACCTGATCTAATTCAAATGAATCTTGATGAAATAAAATTAAATGGAAAAATCAATTTTACACGGCAGCATCCATGCGATGAAATAGATGCGACATTGAATCGTCGTCAATTGCTGGAGCTCGATTGTGTTAATCAGAAAGAATATCATCGTTTTTCATTGAAAAAAAATAGTAAAGCATTAGCAGCATCGAGCAATTTCATTCTAGCATTCGAAAGTCCGTCAACATTACTTTTATTTGATAAAAAAAGTCCACTTCGATCTATCGATACCAAAGGCAACAAAGTATGGGATATTTGTTGGTCTGAAGCTATGAAAATATTTCTGATTGCTGGAAAAAAACTTCAAATCTATGATATTATTCATGATGAACTAGCCGACACGTCTATTGAAAATCCACACAATGGATCTGATATTTGGTCTGTTACGAGTTATCTTCATGATGTGCTTTTGCTAGACAACGATGGTTTCATCAAACGTTACTCGTGTCCTTCATTTAAATTAAAAGCATCATGGCCAGAAAAAGTTTATCTTCGAGAAAATAATGATACTGGAGCAGCACAAATTCGTCTTAATAATATTGGCATATTAGCAATAAGTATTAAACAAGAAGATTTACATTGGCGTATAGATTTGTTTGATGTACAGATGCAACGAATCCATCGTGGTATTCCTCTAACTAACAATGGAACAGCTGACTTGTGGGATATTCCGTTTATTTCTTTAAATAATAATGAATGGCTTGTAATGGATCTTCGCTCTATGCCTCAAATGTTGTTATTAGTTGATGAAAATGGGAAAATTCAACAGCAAGTTGAGAGAGGAGGATCCAATGTGGCTTTGATGGGTAGAACATATCTTGTTTTGCGTGATAGCACAGGCTTACAATTATATAAAGTTTCACAAGAATCATAATCTAAAATAGAGCTAAAATTTTGTTTTTCTCTTAAACGAAGAATATTTTGATGCAATTTGTTCTTCAAGAATAAATCAAACTACAATCATACCTCGTAATATGAACTACAGAATTTAATGATCTAACTTCGATTGAAACAGATATATGTAGTGAGAAACAATCACTGGGGTTCATACAGTATCTTTATAGTATTTAAAATCAAGTTACTACCTGTTCGAGTAACCAAATTCATAAGGATGTAGAACAATATCATCAATAGTTGACTAAGATATTCGTTTTATTACATATTTCGTCTAACAAAGATTTAAAAAGTGGCTCATGAATACATGTTTTTCGCTTCTATTTTAGCATCAATAGATTATGTTCCAATCAGAAAAGGCTACCGCACAAGTGAAAGAAAAAACGTGTTGTTAAGAAGGTTCAACAATAAATTGAAATGCTTCTATAAAGTCATATTTTCCGATTGATAGTAGAATTCAATGATTGCTTCTAACCATATTGTCACTAATATATATCTATTACCGATTTGCATAGCTGTTCATGTAAAATTTTCAAATCTACTATGCTAAAGAATTAGAAACTGTAATAGAGGTGAGCACAGCCATAGTTTCGTGAATAGGCAGCATGATTTTACTAAAGGCCAGATATTTTATAAATTGTCATTCATTCTTTAAATCATGAAATATAAACATTGATAGTACCCACTATTTAATGTAATCAGCGCAAAAGGTTCAATGGGGGTAGATTTCAATCGACTGAATACGAATTCATTTTTTGTAAGAATATAGTCTTGCAGCTCTCTGATGGCATGTGTACCAATGATCATTATATTGATTGATTCAAAGTCCTTAGTTTATTAAATTTTTTGTCGGACTATGATTCCAAAATGCAGAGCGCCCATGACAAAAAGCTAAGAATGAGCCACGGTATCTTATCTAAGATAAGCATATCGGTTTTTTTTGCTGATGAAGCCTTTGATATCTCTATTACTCACTGGTCCTCTTAATAATTACAGGTAACTATACAAGGGCATCGTATGAAAAAATTACAAAAAAATTGAAATTTCTTTTAAATTAGATGAATTCATGTTGGTAACATATTTCAGAAAAAAAAAGAATCCGATTCTAGTATCGTATAAATAATTCTCAGCGAAATAGTACGGAAGAATTAGTAGCTTCATTTTAGCATCTAATCTTTTGAGAGATAATCCATTTTTGTTATGATGACGAATTAGATTAAGCTCAATAATGTGATATTTAACTTGTTTTAATCTTATTTTGAATGACAATAACATCGTTCAATCAATCGACTGCTTGTTTCGGAAGGCTTTCCACGTGAATAACACTATTCCAATTTATTTTTGTTATTATTCGGTTTGTTTATTGATCATAAAAATAGATCGTTTGATTCTATATTTATTACGACAAAAAAAAGACAGTGAATGTGTATGAATTAATGAATAATTAAGTATTAGCTCATTTGAAAATCATCTTAACGGAAAAGTCATGTTTTACATTTTAAAAGATGAGTCTTTTAAGTCCATCAATACCATTTCCCCAACGGAAACATGTATATAAAGCCATTGACCATAAAATTAAAAGAGCCAAATCAAGAGCTACTGCTCCAATAACGCGACCTTTTGAACCTGATCGACGATAACCTTGCGAATAAATTTCTCGTGCTACTATATAAACAATGCCAGCGAGAAAAGCCCAACGAGTATAAGAAAGACCAGCTATTAATAAAGGCACAATAACTGCAAATCCTCCCTAAAATCAAAAATTCGAGTTATTTAAGTGAAATAGAACAATCAGCATACTTCAAGATAGTTCATATGTGCTCGTCGATAATTATTAAACGTAAACCATTCTTCATCAGTTAATTTGTCAGCTAATCTTCCTTGTCCGTCATCCGGATAGCCTCCATCAGGTCTCATAACTTTTCCTAATTTTTTATAGTCAGGAAATTTGTTTTCATAAAATTGTTTATTAAAAAATCTTCTTCTGACTGATCCCATCATCATTCCTGTTATCCACATATGAATACATATAAGAACAGCTTCTAATAAAATCCATGCATATCCTTCACCAACAACTATTTTCATTTCGTTTAAAGCAGGCATCTGAAATAACAAGATTACTTGAAAATTTTTCTCAAGATAAGGCCCATTTTCTTTTTCGTAACGAAGTTTGTTTCATTTATGCTTCAGGACAATAATCATTCGCTATAAAATTAGTCACAACGGATTGTTTTACTAATTTCAGACGGTTCACAACTATAAAAATTGCATCTAAAAATGATTGAAAATAAGAGTAACAATCAAAATTGTTTGGCAGACAAATGAAACACGAAAATGATTTAGTGCTAAAATCTATCGATATTTCAAAATAACAAATCTATTGCAAAATTCTGTCTTTAATGGTTCATATGTGATATAGATAAAAGCTTTTTTTTCATTTCATCATCGAACGGTTGAGGACGATTATTTATTCGATCAACAAACACATGTGTGAAACCACCAACAGCTGAAGCCTTATCTGATTGACAATTATCGAATATTCCAACACAATAATCGACAGATGATTTTCCTATTCGTTTCACAAATAATCCAGCTTCAATTTTCGATGGATATGAAACAGGAGAATAATAATTACAATGAGAAGAAACAACAAAACCTATCAACGGAGATTTCAATGGTTCAAGTGAACATTTTTCAATTAAATATTTATTGACAATTGAGTCGATCCATTCACCATAAACAGCATTATTGACATGGCCATACACATCATTGTCACGCCATCTAATGGCTATGCATTTCATATTTTATCATATTGAATAGAAATAATCCTACCGTGTTTGAAAATCGACAAAATATTTGTATAACGATCGATCACGAAAATCAGATTTAGTTGTACTACTATTCTGTCGTTTAAATAACGGATAATACGGGCGAACTATTCGACATAATGACATCTTCATTTAGTAGTAATCACGACAGGAGTGAGCGAGTGCGACAATATAAATAACAATGCGGCCTGGTTACTTTAGCCAATCAATCATTGCCATCATATTCCGGCTGTATTATTTTCAATATTTATTATTCTATTGTCATAAATTCCAATACGTTCTTTCATTGATTTCATATATTATCCGAAGAAGAGCAAAATAATAAATTATATATATATATATGATCTTTCGTAGATGTCGTACTCTTGTATAAAGAAAACTCCAGATGTATTTGGTCAATTGAATAGAAAACATTTTAATATGTGAGTAGAATATGAAGTTGTTCGAACTATAATAAGATTCTCACCCTTACCTGATGAGAATATCAACGGAGATAGTTACTTTCCTTCCAAATATATAGTGAGAAATGTTGTCAATGTTTTGGTTGTATCTGGTGAAATTCCAAAAGGATCTATTCATGCGTTGACATATTTTAAAATATGACTTAGCAAATAATTATGATTTCTTTTTTTTTTATTAACGAACTACCATATATAAACTGATGCTCATGCTTCTAGAAGATTTCCAAACAGTGTCTTTCGAAGGAATTCAGGCATAAGAATCGTCAGTAACTATAATTATGGTTTTGCTACGCTAATATTCATTGTCTTCGAAATCAGGACGAGAAGAGCGTGCCGCCCTTGTAACTGCATCAAATTCAGTGATTGACACTCGATAAAATTAACTATAAAAACAAGGAGAGTAGAAATATATTCATACCTAGTTTGATAAATGTGAATAAATATTGTATCTATTTTTCTGAGCCAGCTGAATCATTTTATTTGAGTAGTGATTCAATAACAAAGGATAAAACTAAAAATTTTAGTTGTAACAGTGTAGTTGCTAATTTACAAACAAATGACTTAAACGTATATTGTTATATAGATATTGAATGTGCTCGTACAGATTTTTTTGCGGCGTGAAGTTTGATAATAAACAAGAAAAAACTATTCATGAAATTTGAATAACTGTAGGACTATTTATATCCTTGTTTTGAGAGTCATCAATGTTGAACATCTACAACTGTAATACTACATGAAATCTGTTTTCTATTATACATTTTTGAATATGCTAGGAAAACGAGAAAATTCAAACTAATCATTTTGCGTAGAACAAAAGGTCGGGATGAAAGTAGTAGTTAAGTATGTGCGAAAATAAAAAAATGATTTTTCTTCTGAAATATGAATCTCATGAAAACATTCGACTTCGTTGAGATCTATGACTCGATTTGATTGTTTTATTGCTGATTTACTAGAATCATAAATAGTAGAGTAACAGTTTTACGAAGAAACCCTGTTAATTAAATAGAATCATCGGTCTTGATTTTATTATACTATTTTCTCCTTATACGTGTGATTTGAACGTTTTATAGTTGCGTTTGTTTCTGAAAAGGTACTGAGGAAAATATTTCTCTGACGCCAATAAGTCAGCCAAAAAATGTCGAATACCTTGGGCAAGCGTGTTAATCATGACATGACAACACGTTTAAACATAGATAAGATAAGAGTAGTTTGATGTTGATATAGCTTGCATTGTTACTTGCGATAAAAATGGATGGAGTGATCAAATTTTACGAGCTTGCACCATCGGTTGGTTCAACTCATTATTTTTCTCCGAATACCTGGAAAACCCGCATGGGTCTTCTGCACAAGGGTGTGAAATTCGAAACAATACCTGCAACTTTGCTCGATTTTCGCGGTGATCTAGCTAGACGTTCAAATCAACCTAAGATTTCTGCACCGGCAATCGAATTACCTGATGGAACATTTATCTATGATTCATTCCGTATTGCTGAGTGGTTAGAAACTGCTTATCCTAATGCTCCATCGCTGTTTACGGGCGATGGAAAATTATCATCTGAAGCTCGACCCGAACATGTAACTATTGGCAAGAACTATGCACGTCTGACTGATTTGGGGCTTGGTGCTTCTAAACCAGAATGGGCTGTTTGGTTTGATTTATTCTTTTCTCAACTTGATAAGTTAATTGCAGGCGATGATCATCGGGCATATTTTATGTCTGATGTGCGACACGGTCCGCAGGGATATCAAAAGTTAATGGCACTTGATCGTCAAGAATACATTCGTCGTGCTAAAATGAATATACAACCTCTTGTACAAGTCTTGCGAGAACGTCCACAAGAATACTTTCAAGGAACACATCCGGGTCAAGTTGATTACATTATCTTTGGTCGCTACGCTTATTGTCGTACGCTTGATGCAACACTAACCAAGGAAATCTGGAATGATCAAGGAGAAGAATTAAACGATTGGATAGAAAAACTTTGTCAAGCTTATGATGGACATGCACAACAACTTTTTGACAGTTTACCTGTCATTGAATGATCATGGAACTCATTGGAATAATCTTCTATATATGAATGGAAAAATTACAAACTGTGAGACTCAATTTTTATGCGTACTAGAATTGTTGTTTTACACAGAAAGTGATCGATTTGAATTTTTATAACTTTCGTATAAAATATTTTTTGTATGAATTATTTTCAATCAATTTTGACAAAAATGCTGACGCTATTGAGACAAGAAAAAAGAAACTATCAAACAATGATGATTCAATTTATTGAATTATAATGTTATAACTGGTATTGTTTTGTTTTAATAGGTTCATTTGGCAAACTTCTTTTCCAAGCCATTGACGGAATACTCGATTGTTTAAGATGATATCTGACGAAAACTCGCAGTGTCATAATTACTTTCATTGATCTTATTTGAATATGTCTATGCAATCAGTTTAGTTTGAGTTTGTATTTGTAGCGAGTTCTAAATTCAATTTTTATGGAAAAAAATGAAATCACAATTTTTCGTTTTTTTATGTGTGATATTTTCCAAGTCTGTGATTCATAGATTTTTACTAGTAGGATAATATTTCTCAATAAAACATCGAGTCTATCAGAATCTCAGCTTATTTTCCAGAAAATTGTAAATAAATATTGAAGATTGGTTATCTGAAAACTCAGATTGTATCATAGCAAAATGTAAGCAGTGCACATTCATACGGTTTTATATTTTTATTAGCTACATTAAAAATGTTATGGCATGCTCATGCCACAATCGCTTTATGTCAAGGGCAAGTTTGATTTTAAATTTTAAAGAAAACCCATGATTGGTTTTCGAATAAGATCGTCTTTCTTAAATTTCAATTCAAATAACTTAATTTATAAACATAGGAACATATTCATAAAATCTTGAGAATATAGGTAAAATGACATGAGTGTCAGAGTGTAGATATGCAGGTACAGATATTAGTGCGTAGTTTTTCAACTATAGCCTTTATGCTGAAGGAAGAGTTCAATTTGATTTTTTATAGCGCAATTCGATACTAGTTGACTTATCGATAAATTATCAATCAAATTTTTCTCTTATTTTCTTTATATGCATTGGCGCATAAAACATTTAATCATCATTATGAATTATTTTCGATTGTATTGCTTACCATAACAGGGAACAGGGTGAAATTTAAAACTTCGCACGCTTGCTGTGGCAAATGCAAATTTCGTTCCAATGGTTAACATCAATTAGCTCTAACGTAATTTTTTTGGCAATATAAATCCACGCATGAATGATTGCAGCATCGTAATCTTTTTTTTGCGGTTGAACTGAAGCGCAGCTTGCAAATGCACGTTGCTGTGCACATCAGGTAGGGGTGTAGAATATTCGCTATTTGCCGACAATGCAGAGCAGCTAGCGTTCACGTGTACATCAGTATGATAAGATATTACGTTCTCAATCTTATCCTCTATATATTTTAATGAAAAAAGTGTGCTTCTCTCTGAGACTATTATATATTAGATCACAGTCAGAAATCAATAATGAGAATGCATTATCTAGACAATCAAAGTTTATACTTTTATGCTGAACTTTTTGCTTTTCAATATGACAGATTAAGAGAAGATTGAATTTCGAGCATATTTCTCCCATTAGTGTTATAATGTCAAGACTATCATCGATTAGTTGCTGAAACTTTCAATCATGCAGGATAGTTTAATACAGAGACGACAATTTATATATTCAGTATAATTAACATTATTTTAATTCGAAACAAATTTCAACAACCGTCTGCCAACTTTAATTTCAATTTCGAGTCATCAGCACTATTAATTGATAATAGAAAATTATAGAGTACTATATTTCTTACTAACAATCAAGTAAGTCGTGTACTCTGTTTTTATACTTTTCATTTGGGCATAAAATGTGTAACATGTGTGGCTTCTTCAACTGATAAAATCTTGAATAGTTCTATAAAAAAAAGAGCTGAGTTTTTCTAAACATTACCAATTATCAAGAAAAACTGTCCATTGAAAACATTTTCTGTCGGTTAATATATGAATCATACAGTTCATAACTTAAAAGTATGCTACCAACATGATTTTGTCCTATATGATCTCAGGCAAATACATAGATCTGTTTCAAATGGTTAAGCAGTGACATGTCGATTTTTCATGAAGAACAGTAACTTTTATTTGTTTTAGATGGCTATCCTGATCGACTATGCACTTAGCTACAGACCTATCTCGATAAAACGTGAAATTGGTTGGTGTCAGTGAAAAGTTTCCATCTGAAATAACATTCTTCGGCTGATTTTATTGTTGGAGCCACTGTAATTTCCAAATTTTCTGATTCCAACACTGAGAAGCTTGAAACCTGGACAATCGTCAACCGCCAGGGACGTTTCAGATCCTATCAATGCAAGTTCATTCTTTTTCATAATTCCAAACTTTTTTCCAACTTGATAATGCTTTTAGATGGAAATGGTTCGCAATAATATCACATTCAACCTGGGTGATCTTGCTTGCAGCTGTTTTTGTGAGTGCCCTGACGATGCCAAGTGTAAAAAGTATGCTTTTTTAAATTCATTTATTTATCCTGATATTTTCATATGACAGTGAAATTAAACAGACTTAAATTATCTGTGATTCTTAGAGAAAAAGAGAGCTAGTTGACATTGGCTCGTTATGATAAGATACTTGTCATTCTCTTTAGGTAAAGGATGCCGGGATACATTCAAATCACTGGCACGCACATCAATCAGCTATGATTCAAGACCAAAATCAGTGATTATCGTTGATTTAAATAACGATATACAGCCGGATTTCGTTGTTGCCAATTCAGGAACAGACAATATCAGAGTCTTCTATAGATATCCGATTGGAACATTTGATAATCAAAAGATTTATGCAGTTGCAACAGCATGTCAAGCGTATGCAGTCGTTGCTGGTGATTTCAATCGAGATAAAAGAGTTGATATTATGGTTGCATGCCATAGTGCAAATAATCTCGTACTACTTCTTGCATAAGAAAATGGAACTTTCATCCACGCCAAAAACATATTTGTTAAATACAAAAATTGCATTTAGTAATGATTTAGCAATGAAGCAAATGATTTCATCATTCGCCTGTTTAAATTTCGATTTATCTCTAATGACAATAGATCGAAAAATCATCATTTTATTTTGAAATATTTCAAATTTAGATGCTCTAAAAAAAGATATTCTTGATAATTTTAACAACACATTAACAAGTGTTCGATCTGTTTCATCAATCAGTTCAACAACATCGAGGTCTTTAAATTATGATGAACTCCCTCGCGTTGATCAACCATCATCATTTGATATATTAAAGATCTGTTATGCTCTATTAATTCGAACATTAGATTTATTACATCGATTAACACTAAACGATTGACTTCACATACATGTTTACAATTAAATAATTCTGTTTCCCATACTATTGATCTACGTATTAAGCATAACTATGGAACAATGAATTTAAACAAACACAACTATTCAAAAACCTTTTTGTTTTGTTTAAAGATAATGCCCGATCGGTCTTTCAAATATATTCATTATGTTTATGAAATGGCTTATTTAAGAATTACGAAATAATTCTGTGAGTTTTGCGGAGAAAAATTCAATGATTTCTTGAAAAAATGAGTCAGTTAGATTTTTTACTTCTAGATAATAATTTTAAATTTATTAACAAAACAAATAGAAGAACATTCTTAATTTAGATCGAAGTATATTGGTAGCTAATCGTGCAATTGTGTTTCATATCATAGTGGTATCGAGATGAAAATCAGAATAGAGCAAAGTGCTTTTTCATTGATAGAGTTCTTTCTCGAAATCTGTGTTCAAAGTCACAGTTTTCTAGTTTATTGAGTGTGAACATTTTGCGTCATATTTATTTCATTTCTGTTGTAGAATTTATGGAATTGTAACTAGGTAGCAACAGTAAAATATCCCATTAATGAAAAATATTGAATGCCAGACTCGATTTTAAGAACGATAACTTGTTTTCATTTCAAAATATACAGTGATTGAATCAATTTATTCATTACCAACTGACTACAAGAAACGAGCTCGACTTTAATTAAATAAGCAGGCAACTGCTAGAGCTAGACGTACACTTATGTCACTGTTTTTGTTCAAATGCGTAGACTAACAAATGATACGATTTTAAAGTTTCTATTGAATTGCAAAATCACATAAATGTTAAATCGAATAGTTTGCGAAAGCTAAGCTCAGCAATTAATATTTCTAGTGGTACAGCTAAATTGTTTTCATTGGCGATGATCCAACAAAAACGAATCCATATGTTCGCGATGATACCCCAGGTCGTGGACGTACGGCGGGAAACGGCCGGAAAGCACAGGAAAGCGCTGGAAAGTGGAAGCAGTATTCCAGTTGGAAGTTACCGGATTTTCTTCCTGTAGATTCCGATCAACTTCC